GGTGCTTTTGGAATATGCACCCAGGCATAACTGCCAAATGTCCTTAGATGAGCCAAGGAGGGTTTCCTTCCATGCAACATGAAATGCGGTGTTTCCTTTATTGCCACACTATATCCTGTTAATTATATAATTTGCTGCTTCATGGCTTCCCCCCAGTATACTTTACTCATGCCTGCATCAGCAGGCAATAAGTCCTTCATGGTCTGTATCATACCATTTCTTCTTCCAGCCACTCCGTTTTCAGCCAACAAATATGGATTCGTTCGTGTATGCCTTATGCCTAAACTGCTTAACCATCTTTGGAACTTATCAGACATAAACTCTGTTCCCCTGTCTGTTTGCCATGGTTAAATCCCACTCTTGCATAGACTCTAGGCTTGTCACAAGAATGTCCCATGAACTGTCCAATGAACTGAGCATCACATACACTTTGTATGCCGCAGTAAATGTCATTCCTCTTTCTTCTAACTCAAGGAATGTCCTTCTCATATTCTGCAGATGTGTGGACATCCCAGCACTCTTTCGCAGACTGGAGACCCCTCACATGGATCAGCTGACTAAAGCCAGAATTATACTGCTAATTCCTTTTCGTTTTTCCTCTGGTCCCCATCATCCAGGATTGCTGGTGGATCAGTAACAATCATCCACAACTCCTCCCTCCTCAGGTACATCTCCATCTTTACATTCCAGGAGAGGTAATTTGTCCCATTCAGCTAAACCTCCTTTAATTATGCTGACAGAGGCCATGCTGCCTGGTTTCCTTCACAAGCCACTAACCATGAATATGCCATGTCACAATCCCCTTGGCTCTGGTACAAGCATCCACTGGGTTTGTGACTTTTGGGGGCTGTTTCTAATTTCCAATATTATGTGGTGTAATTCCAGTTTATGTCAAATCCGGAATTACAACACAATTTGCCAATTTGATGCTTACCTAAATAAAAGAAATTTGGTTTGGAAAATGGACTTTGCTCATTTCTTTTTAAATGGGTTTCATCATTTGGAAACCTGACATTCGTATGAAGTGCCAGATTCCAACGATCACTTCTTATTGAATTTACGTGCCACATTCTTTAGCATTGCTTCTGGGAATTGATACTGTTGACCTCACAATGTAACTGAAGGTGCTGGAAGCACGTAAATAAGATGTGGTTCTGGAACCCAACTAACATTGTCTTTCAGGCCAATAAAATGAATGAGCAGGGCCTCGTGGATGCATAAATGTTACCAATGCATGATTTTGTTCAATCTAAATTTCCACGATGTTGCCTACTAAAAGAAACAGTAGGACAGGAACGGTAGGCACTTTGGTGCGCTTATGCATGCCCCCTACAGACCTTTTAGGAAGGGTCAATAGTAGACAGTCTAAGATTAAAGTTTTTGGGGTTTGGGAAGAAACCACAGAGTCAGGTAGAGTATTCCAGACATTGACCACTCTGCATGGTGATTTGCCATGACTTGTGCCGAAAAAATTCCATTCGGCCTCAATTTTGAAATCATGTTTGTGATTGCACAGATTGATGAAATTTTTGTACTTTTTTTATTGCACCGCTGAACTGTCACTAAAGTAGTATATTCTTGTAATCTTTGTTTTAGTCATCAAAAACTCAATCAACTTCTGAATGAACACGTGCACAGAAACCGTATTATGTTGCATATGATCAGAAATTATGCAACAGTTGATAATTTGCAGTGCACTATCTTTAACAACATAATAAGCAAAGAATAGATGCACTGTGGCTTGCAAATTCTCCCAGTGAAAGCCTTGAGCAGCATCTTTGACAACAAACAAGTAGTTCTCCGCAAAATCCATCAATACAATCAGTTCGGTTTCTTTTTGGCCGGCTTTCAATGACTTCAAATATTTGCTGTGATGTTTTGAATTGAAGTGGTAGCCAGTCAGTTTCCACATTTTGCTAGCAGGTTTTTTGATGAAGCCATAAACTGTGAGAACATTTATTTCCAGCATTTCGCGATCAGTATGAACCCATTTTTTGAATTCTATTGATTCTTCCAAATCCCAGTCTTTGAATATTTTGTCCAGATGTGCTATCAGTGCCTCTTTACCAGGGCAGTTTTTGTGTTCAGATCGCAAACTGAGTTTCCCAAGAGCAGCTTGTAGTCAGTTCAAAAATTTCCACCACCTGTTCTGTGGGCATGGCTAGGTAGTCAGGTGACTGAGTGGGCATGGTCAACTCGCATCACTCATGGTAAGGTGGGGTGGCACCTTGCTGTGAATGACATTGAGTTGGCCACTCCCACTCAGTCACATGACCGATGCAGAGACAGGGAGATTCTACGTACCTTTCCTCCCCCCTCCCCCCTTGGGTTAGCAAAATAAAAACCTATCTAAAGATTGCGACTGCCTGCCGAGTCTACCTACCAAATGGGTTTTGTTTTGGGGTGGGTTTTTTTTTTGCCAGAAGCTCCTCTGAGATGCACTATTTTTTTTTTATGGAACAACAATTTCTTTACTGCCAAATCTTACTGTACCTTGTTGTTGTGGTGCTGCTTGTTGCTGCTGTGGGCACTGCTGTGGCCATTGGGCTGCCCAAGCAAAGAAACGCACTGGCTCAGGGTGACTCTGAGGAGCAAGAGGGGAAGTCAAGGCGCTTGCCCCATAGCTGCCAACTCTCTCACTCCCATGCACACTTTCCTGCTTCAGTTCAGTGCTTCTGGTGAGCGCAAAGACACAGAGGCAGACACCACGCCTCTGTAGAAAAGAGATGGTGAAGCCCTGGCTGTCACCCGGGAGGGGACCGTGGTGGGACAGATGCCCCTGTTGCCCTCACATAGGTTTCAGAATGATGGTGTTCACTACCTTTCAGCACTCTTCAGTTCTGAAGGCTAGAAAGATGTCTAACCTTCAGAATGATTATGTTTGCTAGCTTTGTATTCTATTCATGCAATAGTGTGGAAGGCCCCTTCTCCAAATCACATAATTTAGAGAAGGAGCCACCAATGATCATTAAGAATGATATCCACCTGCTGGATGACACAACATGCCAGGAAAACCATGTCTTGCATCAACTGGATGCACCTGCAGCTGCAGAAAAAGGCAAAGGTAAGGAGATCTAGGCATAATGGGGCAGGAAGAAGACCCTCTCCCCAGCACTATGCTTAACAACCCATGCAATCCTTTAATGACTGGGAGAATCGGGATTGCAATCATTGAGCAGAATGGTCATTTGGGCATCTTGCTTTATGACCACTTTGCTCAACAATTGGGGTTATAGGAACTGTACCTGTACTCTGCCTTGACTAGGACTTTAAATTTTCTGACTGAGAACTTATTTATACATTCTGTTGTTATTGTGTCACTTCATTTTATGACTATTGGGTGCCAATCATCTTTATTACATTACCTTTTTCAGACAACCGTTTTTTCCTACATGCTACAAATTTATGATGAGAATATTCATTAACGACAATGTAACTGTAGTGAAAAAAATATGTCAATCCAAAAAGACACGCTTATTCTGCATCTTCATATGAAAGTTCAGTAACTGGCCTGGACAGTTCATGATAGATTTATATTAAGCTAAGTAGATAGTTGTTTATAAAACCTATTGATACGTTTATGTAGCCACAGTTTTTCTCTGTTCATTAAGAATGTAATTTGTATGGTGAATGTGTTGTATATATGTGTGTGTATGTGTGTTACATAATTATAATATACAGATGGAAGGACAGAAGGTATGTCACTGAACTTTTTCCAATTAAATATCAACTTACATTTAATCCTAATTATAATAAGGATGTTTGTTGTGCTTTTCATCATTTTGCACTCACTCTCTTCACACACACACACACACACACACACACACACACACAGAGAGATTTCTTTTAATGATATATTGCTCTGGTTCACTTGTCTTCTCTTTGCTGTCTTTGTCTCCTTCTATCGTGGTTTATTGTGGAATTTGACCTTTTTGCTCACTAAGAGCTTGAATCATATTAACAATATATTGACATAATGTTGGCTTTGGGGGAAATTTTGTTCCTAAAGGCTATAAAATCTAATGAGCAGATGGATACAAAACATAAAAAACAAAATTGTATGACTATATTGTTGCTGGACTAAAACAGTTAAGAAACATCCTTTACTGAAATTAAAAATGTAACATTATGTTTTAAGAAAAGATATCAGATCATACTGGTAGCAGTGTTATCAAGATATATTTTATGACATGAATAATTTGTGCTTAGGGCTTTAAGTGTGAGCAGACTGCTAAGAGATGTGAAAAATGTTCATAATCTACAATAGAAAAGGGTTTATTTCTGACAACTTGTAGTTAGGATAAGTTACATCAGAGTTCATAGCTGCTTTGATATTAAGTCTTGAAGATTTTATAAGTAAAGACTTCGCATTTGTATGTAGTTAAATAGCTCTAAATGGAAGGGATGATGTGCAGTGAAGCATCAACATTTGTAAATTTTTGAGTGTTTTGTCTACTATGGGGGCTATCACTTAATGCTATCTGAGCATATTCCAAAACAGGTTTAAGGATATTGGCAGGCAAGCAGGATGTGATTCTTTTACTGTAAATAAAGTTTCCAAACCAGAATGAATAATTTTATAATGAGTTATTTTAGGGGACTTCAATTTTGAGCTGTTGTTGAGTGTAAATAGTGCAGTTGCTTTCATAAGTCACATGATAACATTATATGAAGCTTTGTTTAAAAATATATAATAACAGCCTGAATTCTTGCTCTGCACTCTAGCATTTTGGGTAGCTGTTTAAGTCTTTAAATTATCTTTGTTTACGACTTAGTTTAAGTTCCCCAGGACTCTTCATATAACACTCCAGAGATGTATATTCTCTGTGTAAGCATATATACTGTACACATGCCTAAGACATTGTGTGATTAAAAGCTGTGCCCCCCAAAGCTAATAAAACAGTGTTCTATTTTGGTGATAGGCACCCTTTTAAAATGTTGCAAATGTTATTTTAAGCAAAGGATTTATGCATTGCTTAAAACATGTCTCTGTTTTGCAGACCAGATAGTGTTGATGTGGATACTTTGGGCAGCCTGGAGATAAAGTGGATGTCAATGACAGCTATGTAAGCTACAATTCTACAAAGTTCCAGAAATCCTATATAATGGAGGAACTATATAAGGACACACAAAACCTACCCATGGATGTTACCACTTCACCTTCTGCTATTGCTAACAACAAATTAGAAAGTGGTGTAGCCCAGCTGATAACAGCCGAAGCCTGGAATATCAATTCGTCAGATCTGATGAAGAAAGCACTTTCACCACTTGTAACTGTGCCTGCTCCATCAATATTAACACCACCAGCAGAATCCCAGAGTGGGGTTGCTCTCAAAGTAGCTGCCACAGTGCTTCAGCCAATTTGTTTAGGAGACAGCCCTGTGGTTCTTCCAATACATTTGCAAGTAGCAGGAAGCACCACTCCTCAGATTGCTCCCAATAGTAATACGCCATACGTTATGACCACCCAAGGTCCAGTCCCATTGCCTGTTCTTTTAGAGCAGCATGTATTTCAGCATTTAAATTCTCCATTAGTATTACCTCAGAATTCACCATGTGCTCCCAGTTCCATTCATAGCAATCTGTTCCAAAGTTCTGCTACTCCTATTGGACAGTCGCAATTGTTGGATCAAAAACCTTCCAATCCAACTCAAGATTCTGTCCTGCCCCCTGTATTTCAGACACCAGGATTTGCTGCTGTGTTGCAAGACCTGTTTCCTACTCAAGGAGCTTTGAGCTCTTTGCCCTATCAGCCATCTCCAGAATGTCCTCTCCCCTCTCAGCCCTTCAGTTCTCCTTTGACTCCATTGGTCCCCCCAGCCACCTTATTGGTGCCATATCCTGTGATTGTGCCTTTACCAGTCCCAGTCCCTGTCCCTATTCCTATTCCCATCCCAGTTCCTCATGGCATTGAATCCAAGGTTAACTTAGACTACTCCAAACCAGCTGCTTCCTTTGTTTTGCATTCATGCAAGGGTACCCAGACTCCTTTGGAGAAGGAAGAAACTAAACTCTGTGATTTTATCCACCCCAGAGGAATTTCTCAGTTGAATCGGCATACTGTCATTAAGATGAGTAATGAAAATGAAGTCCTTGATCTTTCTATGAAAACAGCTCCTTTCCTTAAGGAAAACTATGTTAGTTGCCAGAATGCCCCCAATGATAGTGCTTTGGACTTATCAATTACTTCTTTTCGGAAGGTGAAGAGTATTGAGACCACAAACTTGAACTGCTCTGGTTCCATGATGGATGGAACTTCTCATTCAGTGGCAGAAAAACCTCATGAGATCCCAACCAAGGCTGAAAACAGTGTGATCAGTTCCAGTTCATCTGAACTCCTAAGACAACAGTCCAAATGGCTGGTGGATCAGAATAGTATTACAACTTGTGAACCCACAACTGGCAATAATATAGAAATTGTGAGTACTTCACAGACAGCCAAAGTGATAGTTTCTGTCAAAGATGCAGTGCCAACTATTTTCTGTGGTAAGATTAAAGGCCTCTCAGGAGTTTCCACTAAAAACTTTTCCTTCAAAAGAGACATGCCTCAGGATTCAGGGCTGCAATGTTATGATGTGAAGAATCAGCCTGAAGTCCAGGATAATGCAGAAGCTCTTAAAAAAACTATCAAAAACAGGAGTGTCAAGTTAAAGAAAATGAACTCGCAAGAAATACACATTCTTCCTATTAAAAAGCAGCGACTTGCAGCCTTTTTTCCAAGAAAATAATTTATGAAGTTTTAGAATGTTTTAAGATTTAATTATTATAAGTACTGTAAAGAGATGCACTTCGTTTTAAATTACATTTAAACTTTAAACTATATTTAAGTTATTTCAAGATGGAGGATTAAAGAGTGGATGGGGTAGGGAAGACAGAAGAATATATCTTGATATATCTTACCAATGCAATGCTTCCCTCGTCAGCATGTTTTGTTCCAACTTTTCATTAAAATAAATAAAAAACAACATATTTTTCAAGTGGATTGCACATTTTTAGCTTTAATGGAATATAATGAATGAGCAAGTCAGAGGAGTAAGAGTTATTTTCACTGCCATAAAGTGCTTTGATGATGTAATTCTGAACAGTAAGTAGAATGGAAGTTTCAGAATAAATGTTTGTATGTCTTAGCACAGCTGTTGCATTTCATATTTTTATGAAATGCATAACCTGAAACTGTATTATGGGTAGTGTATTGATATTTATTTGTATCATTTTTCAGATTGTTGGGTTATTTACCCATTTTCATCCTTGGTGTCTTCCCCATGTATATTAATGATATAGTTTAAGCAATATTTATTGAGACAAAATTCTATTACCAGTACAGGCAGTCCTTGACTTACGATCACAATTGAGTCCAAAATTTATGTTGCTAAGTGAGAAATTTGTTAAGGAAGTTTTGCCCCATTTTACGAGTTTTCTTACCATATTTGTTAAGTGAATCACTATAGTTAAGTTAGTAACATGGTTGTTAAGTGAATCTGGCTTCCCCGTTGACTTTGCTTATCAGATGGTTGCAAAAGACATGACTTTGGGACATTGTAACCATCATAAATATGAGTCGGTTGTCAAACATTCAAATGTAAATCATGTGACCATGGGGGGGATGCTGCAACAGTTATAAGTGTGAAAAATGGTCATAAATCACTTTTTCAGTACCATTGTAACTTTGAACGGTCACTCAATGAACTGTTGTAAGTCAAGGACTATCTTATAACAATGATTTCTATAGCAAAAACTAGGGTCAGTCCAGAAGAAATCCTTAAAAGGATGTAGAGGTAGTCCTGGAGAAACAACGGGCCACTTAATGATGGTTCAAAGTTAAGACTGACACCACAAAACTACATACAACACTGTTTCAAAGTTATGATGGCTACAGTGGCCCCCCGATTATTACCCTCCACAGGGATGCTGCAGTACACACACACACACACACACGCCCCTCTCTTCCTCCTCCACATCTCGGATCTGCTGCTGTAGATCCTGGAAGCAGCCACCATTTTAAGGGCCCCAACAAATCCTTGAGGAAATGATGGTTACTTTCAGACCTTTCTATGCCGATCAGCTGGCCATCAGAAGCTGCAAACCTCTCCTGCCTCAGGCTAGACTTTGAAAAGTGGGCCCTTGTATAAAAGGTGGTAGCTTCAGCACAAGCTTCCCCCAAACTTTTCCTCGTTTAACCTCTTCACTCCGTCCCTCCCTCCCAACCCAGAAAGCCACATTTCTTCAGTCAAAGATACAAAAAAAAGTTGGGAGGGACGATTCCCCCCCTCCGTCGCTCCAATTAGGTGCTAAAACTATACTCTCCACCTCTGTTTTCCAATTGCTAACCCTTTAAAAAAATCTTATTTTGACTCCAGACTGAAAAGTAGAAGAGCAGAAACAAAAAGGAAAGAAAACTTTCCTTTGAACTGGAAAAGAACAAAATTTATCTCCAAAAGTACTGCAAAAACTAGTGCAACAAAATGGAGGAGGCTGGATCTTTGCAAACTTTGGCTGTCCGTCTGAATGCCTGTAGAGCCCAGCTAGTACTTAAAGACTAGATTGTAGACTATTTTGGTATCTCATCTTGTTTTGCTATATTTGTGCCTTGCTATAAAATTCTAACATTCCTTGTATTGGATTCCTATGATTTAAGAGTAAATTTAGAGTCATAGCTCAATAATGCCATCTTCTGTGCAAATGACAGACATTACAATGAAAATGCTATGCTTTATTCTAGCGGCCCCAAACCTTTTGGGGCTCCAGGGACCAGTTCCATGGAGTTTTTTCTGTGGACCAGAGGGGGCATGGTTTCATGTGCTGCCTGCGTCTCACAGATGGGTCATTTGTTTGCGCGGCCCAGTTTCTGACATGCTTGGACTGGTACCGATCCACAGACTGGGGACTTCTGCTTTATTCTATTGCACACTGCATCCTGAGCCATATATTGATATTAGTTCTGATATTTTTGAAAGATAACAAAATATGTAATACAGTGGAATTTGAAATGTAAGAGTCTGACACTGGGTTTAATCACTTATCTCTAACTTATACAAGTATGGCATCATAGAGGTTTACAAATCTTTATGGATTCCTAATAATTTGGGGAAATATTTCTAGTTATGCATCTTGTTTTTAAAATGAGGAACATTTCTGAACATATATAGATAGACTGAAGGTAGGACCTTGAATTCTGGTAATGAAATGGATGGGTAAATGGCTGAGTCAGTGGTTGATGACCTCTGATGGATCCTACTTGTTATGAAGACTCTGATCCATTTTTTAAAACTATTCTAGAATGGGAAGACAAACATTGCTTCTTGTATTCTTTGTATTTGGAAGGAGTTAATGGTGCTTTTTAGAATAATTCCATCTTTTATATCTGGAGTCACAGGAAAGTTGAAAGAAATATATCTATATAAATCTTGCATCTATGAAGCATTATGAATATTGTTAGGCTTATTGATAAACTTTCTCCAATTGTTCATTCTATGATTATGGCTTCGAGGGTATGACTATGGTCCTGGATCAATGAAAATATTAGCATATTTCTCTTTTATTTAAGCAAGTTAACTGGAAAATGAATGGTCAGAGCCAAGTCTTTATTATAGGACTCTTAAAAGAGATATCATTCACTTTGACTTGAAGTCTTCCTTAAACTATAATTAGAAAATCAATATTTAAAAAATTACTGTGTAAAGTATTACTGCATGTGGTTATAATAAAACTAATCAGCAGATAAACTATGGCTGACTCACTATGGTTGGCTTTTGCCTTGGTTTGAACATGAAAATAGTAACCACAATTGATTTTCTATCTAAATCCACATAGAGAAAAGATATGGTCTTATACTATGTATATTTCTGTTGGATTTCTGTATGGGTTATAGTACTATTGATTATGCTATCCTTTTAGGTCTTCTTGTGGGATAGGAACTTGGGAAATTATGAACATAGCTCATGGTATGTTAACTTCTAACATCTGCAGGTTTGAGTTCTTTGTGCATTTAAAGAGCTACATGACATAATTGGAAATTTTATCCAAGAGATTAAGTGAATTTTCATTACTATGCAGATAACATGCAGTTCTGTACATTTTCCTTATCTTAATTTGAAGATGATGTAAGATTTGAAACATTCATGAAACAGCATTGATGAAACATTGTTTGAAATTCTGGTGAAAATCTTTTTTTAACTAGTGCAATGCTTGTTTCTGTGAAATGTTTATTTTAACTGGTTTCTTGGGTTTTGATTTTATTATTTTGTATACACTAACCAAAATCTTGCAGTCAAATAAAATTGATTTTAGCGCCTTTTAATGTGTTGAAGAAGCAAAACCATGTGTAAGAAACTTTTATCACAAATGATAATTATGTTGCTTCTTTTATCTATCACAATAAGTGCAGGCTAAACTACTCAACTGCCAACATAATGAAACTATAAATCACATCAAATTACAGTGCTATTTATAGATCTTTGCATGGATTAATAAACTCACATCATAAAATGTCATCAGGATTTATCAATTTATATTATTTTTGTTGGCATGGTGCCACTCCAATCTTGTTTCACATTATTGCAGCCATTGAATTGGGAAGTCTTAGATTCCTTCTCAATATGAAAAAGAGAATCCACTTATTTATTGGGTAGGAAGGGGAGGAATCAAATAATAGGTACTCAGATTTGCTATACGACCAACTTGCATATACATATTTGCATGTTTTTAGCAAAAACTGATACAGCAATTTTCCTAATACTGGTGTAAGATTGATCTACAGATTTTGAATTCAGGCATCTATTTGCTTTTCCGTGATGTAAACCTAGTGTGTGATTTATTTTGTTTGAAATAATGTCACAGTAGAACACATTTTTCCCCTATGTACCAACTTTTTCATAGTTTGGTATGTGGTAAATGGCTCACTAACAAGAATTCCTATGATAAATCTAAGATGTAAACATAAGGAAGATAAAAATTGGACAGAACTATATGGACATTTTACATTTGGGCAATACAATCTCTCTTATAAAGAACCTTTCAAAACTGAGCAATTTTTTTGATGATATCATAATCTGAAAAATTAGTAATGATTTGAATTATGACAACAGTACTAGAAGTTGCTTTTAACTTGGAACCTGCAGCAGTTTATCTAGTTTTGACATCTGATGAGACACCTAAAGAACATCTTCATTCTGTGCCTAGCAGTCCAAAATCCTTGAATATTTTAATTGTTCAGTAGGTTGGTTTTCCCAAATCCCTATCACTGCCCCTAGTGATATACTGCTAGTCTGATAAGCTGTTTTTCTTTGATTTTTTCATTGGTTTGTAGCAAAAGAATTCTGCAGAATCCAATCTGAGTTGATCAATGGGACTGTGTTCACCTCTGGTCCCAGTGACCAACTCAGATTGGATGCTACAAAATTATCCTGGGACATGTATATTTGCCTTCATTTGCAAAATAATTCTGTTAGCTGAACTATTATTGTCTTGATTACATCTAATGCAGTATGTTTCTACAAGGAGGCAGCAGATACTATTTTGATATCATTTTGTTTCCATTTCATGATCAGTTGATTACATCTTTGTTAATCATATGGTTCATCAGCAAACAGGGGAATTTAGAAATTTACCTTTCCCACTAAAAAGCACCAGGGGTGGGATTCTACTGGTTTGGCCTGGTTCAGGCGAACCCGTAGCTCCAAAGATCAGATGGGAATGAACCTGTTTGCTCCGAAGATCAAGGCATTTCCTCCCCCCACCTGATCAGCTGTGTCGCGCAAATTAGATGAGAAAGCAGGATCTACATCGCACGTCACAGCTGATTTCCCCCCTTGCTGTTGTACTGCTTCACCCAGGAGGCTTCCCTGAGGCCCAGAAGGAAAAAAATGGGGTGCAGGGGTGTGTGCTGTGTGCCCCCACACATCCCATTTTTGCTCCCAGGAGGCTTTCCTGAGGCCCAGTTGGCAAAAACAAACAAACCCAGGCCCACCCAGTTACATGACCGGCTGGCCATGCCCACAGAACCATTAGTAAAAAAAATTGCATCCCACCCCTGAAAAGCACTATCAGCATTTGCAAAGAGGCCTAAGTTTTACTGTTTGAACTTAATTTCAGATTGTTGCAGTTATCTGATCTAATCTAGTTTTAGGCTTAAGAGCAAAAACATTGCATTGTTTTGTGCACTGCTTTATTGGGATGGCTGTTTGGCATTCCATTCTGTACTGTATGGCATGCAAAACGTAGCAAATTCTGGGGGATCAAATGCCTTTGTTTTGGGATTCTGCATTCTGTGGGAAGTCAAGAAAATGTTGACTTACAGATTTAGTGCTATTTATAGTACTTGGAAGAAACTCCTGGAAGCATCAGGACTGAACATAGGATTTTCTGGATGCAAATAATTTGCACTTGAACTGCCGTCTCTTCCTTTTCATTTCATGTATACTAATAAAAGGACAGTTAGAATGTTCCAATTTATTTAGATTTATATCCTGCCTTCCTTTTAGGAGCCCTACGCAGCATGGACAGCATTCTCTCCTCTAATGTTTGATCACAACAATCCTAACTAAACAGTGACCAAAGCTCCCTGATCCCAATCAACACCTTCACCATCTGAACTCTACACTTACAAGCATGTTAAAAATTCAGATACTTCATGAAAAGCATATCACCATACTAAATTTGTGTGGGATATTTACAAGATCTTTATTTTTAATTGACAAATACACTGCCCTCTAGATTTTATTTTTGCCTCTTCTGACAAATTATGTGGATTATGCAAAAAGAGCATTCAGAATTTTTTTAAGCACTTGAGTTATTTGATAACCATTACAACCATCAGTAAAACCCTTCTATTTCAAGAAGTATCCAAATCCAACCTACTGATTCTCTTTTTGAAGGAAGGTGATAATCTACAGTATATTAACATCAGTGTTTAGAATTTTACTCAGATTATTTCTGTAAATATTAGATCCTTTCAAACCATGTATTTTTTATTAATCAAAGTATATTTTAATTGATGTATTAGTTACTATGAGGTTAGTCAGTTACAGATTTAAGACATTACATAATAAAAATAATTGAGAGGTAAACATCAAGCAGCTTTTATTTTCTTTTTAGATGAGAACATCCAGTTGAAAATGAAAAAATATACCTAACATAATTTGTATCGTGTCATATACAAAGTTAAAATTTCAGTGGCATTCTTCTTTCTTATAAAAGTTTGTGTACATGACGTAGTAAACATTATTTGCACAATTCAAAGACATATTAGCAAAATGAATAAAGAGAAACCTCCTGGTCTAAAATAATGTGTCTATGTTTTATAACCACTTTTAACATATAAAATTCCTTGAATAACATTTGTGACATTTTGTCTGCAATCCAGTATGGAAAAGATTCTTGCAAGATAGTTTGGCATTTTAATACAATTTTAAAACATCCTTCAACATGTCTGAAATAAGCTATAATAAATGTCTTATATAGTATCCAATTTGACTGTTTTCTTCCACTGCCAACACACCCTTCAAATCTCCAGAACAAATTTATGAAGCACATACAGTAGATGCAAGATGGAGAACAAAAAGCATTCCCATGGTACCAGTGGAAGTTCATTGGCATAATATATGTCATCCTTCATCCTTAAAAATCACAAAGACAATTATATGCCAAATACAAGCGATCATGTTTCACAATGAGATAAATAGGTGTGTTTATGTAACTTTGACAGAAATAGGTATCAAAAGATATGAAAGATATCGCAGCCATTACAGCTTATTTTTAAATACCTGAGCATATATAAATAACTGCACTAGTTAAAGAAAGTTATATATTGGAGCTGTTGTACACTCTTAGGAGAAGCAAAGTTTGCTGATATAATATGAATGCCAGAAGTTCATCAGAAAATAGGACATCACCAAAGTGATCTCATTTAAATTCAGCTTCAGTAATTTAAAGAAATACATTGCTTCAATAACAGTTTGCAATTTTGCCATTTTTAGCTAAACCTGAGTAATTGGTGTATTACTAATACACTAATATAATAAACAAGGCATTTTTAAACAACAAATGTATTTTAACTAGAAGTTTTTTCCATATAAAAAGGCAGTAAGAAATATAAAAACTACATTCCTTTCGGGACTATATCTTTTCTAGCAACACTTGGACAAACAGAACGCCTGATCCTCTATTCAGCAAAAGTACATAAATGATCCCTGATATTATATTGGCAGTGATGGGAAAGTATTTTACTGTTTGTAACTACAGACAGCACCAAGATTCAGATGAATTATACATCCAAGTGTAATTCAATTCCTTTGTTGAAAGAAGTCATTGACTTTTTTATATATATAAGACGTTAGAGAGGCAAAGTAAAAAAAAAAAGACATTCAGCATCACCTTTCCCTCATTATCCCATTCTTTTCCAGATATTTTCCCAGAATAAAATGGTTCAGCGCAACATGAGAATTTAGGAATATTGCATAGTGCCAGAACTTGCCCTGTATGGATCTGTCCATCAATTATTTCTTCTTCTCCCTTCCCCTTCTCTCAATTTCCCTCCATAAAATGAGAAACAAACCAGACAGGCATTAATGAGCAGTATGAGGACACATACATCCAGCAAAGACCATTCACATGCAGTGAAAGGTGGACTGAAGGTAAAGTTTTGCAATTAATTAGAAACTCTGCACATGCTGAAATCTTTCTGGATCCTACACAAGATGGTAGGTTTCATTTTGTTCCTTCCTGGTGGCATAACATCATATTTTAGAATGCAAAAGGAAATCTGTTTAGGCAATTATCTTCCATACTTCACCAGGTCCCCACCAGGGAATCTCAACCCTATGTTCTACTGGAACAAACTGGTCTATTGGAATTGATTGGCCTAAAGACACAGCTTGATGATACAATAACAAGTATATAAAATGTATAATGCACATTTTGTTTATGATTTAAAATGAACAAAAAACCTGCAGTTTATTATCTGCCACAGTGCAAAAATACCTTTAAAACACACTTAAGAAAAACTTGAACATTATGTACAAAATATAAATTTATATATTCACACATACATAAACACACACACACACACACACACATGCATGAACCCACCACATAAATATACAAGTGCATGAACATAGGTTTATGCTAGATGGAATGTTTCAATACAATATTTCTTATATTGTTGTAAGCAAACAGAAAGTTATTTGCTCACTTGGGGAGTTGGCTGCTCAGATCAACCATAAGAAGTTCCTTCCTAAAAAAGAAATTTTCTCCTTAAATTGTCAACATGCTGTAAAAATGTATTTTCATAATTTAAATTTGAAAAAAAAAGAGCTTATTTGTTTTTTGCACACAACATATACTTACAATACAAGTATATGGCTATTGTTTTTATGGATATCTGCTTCACATAAGACATGTATGTGATTATATTAATTAAAGAATTAATCAATTAAAAAGAATACTTTCCTCACCCCAGCATAAAAATTCAGCCATTTTTGCAAAAAACAAAAAAACACCCTCCACATTTGATTTTTTTAAAACAAAGATCCTTTGGAATTCAGCTGTTTTGGTTCTGAATGAAAATGCATCAGCTGAAGCTGAAGAGGTGAGAATGTATTTTGCAGCTTCTCATATTAATACTTTTAGTACTACTTCCTCCCTGCATATTTTAAAAAGTTATTAAATACAATGTGAAACTTTTAACACTAAATTCCATATTTAAGAAGTATCTGTAACAATGCTGATTTGGGATATATCTTTCTGATTAGACTAGTAGAAACAATATGCTGGCAATTTCTTTGTGAGCAGAGTGAGATTTTTTTGATCCATTTGATCAGGCAAAGTTTCAGCCCTATAGTTCTCTTTTTGAACCTAACTGGTTGTCTACTTAAAATGCAACATTATCACTATGTATTTGCTGCCTAGAACTTCCCTTGCTTAAGTCTTTCTATATGATAACACAGTTTTAATGCTGGGCCCAGTTTCAGACCCATATACTTCATTATCATATCACTCCTCAGTAACAGAAGAGCCTTCCCATCAATTTCCTGTGAGGAAACAAGATGACAATAATTAATGACTAATTTCAGAACAAGAATATTACTCTAGACTGACACAACAGAACTCTCCCTCTCCCACATTATCACCATTTTTCCCCAAGAAAAAAACAGTAATTCAAATCTGAACATCTTGGAAATTTTCATGGACAACTTCAGAATTTACATTATAAAAATTACAATTTATAATTATATATTATGTATATTACAATTTATAATTTATTTACAGAATCAGTTATAAAGAGCTGCGGTGTTATGACTTGAACTTGGCAAAACAGCTTTGGATCTGATATGGTTACACCATCCATTTCCTTAATGCAGAACATGGAGTTTTAGGACCTTGTCCAGATGTTGTAACCTCAAGAAAAAGTTCACCAAGCCTTTGGGGAGGGAATGCAAGACCCTTCATTTCATATCCTCTGATTTCTCAACTTGCCATCTTTTTTCTTTAAATTGTTTAATTATAATTTGATTGTTGTGAGTTGCCCGGGTTCATTGGGAATCAGGTGACATAATTAAGTAAATAAATGCTGCAACACCTTTAAGTAGGAACAGCAAAGGTTACATACCAGATGAGAAGCAAATCTGTCTGCTTTGAATCTGCAGAAGCCTGAATCTGTGTTGTTTCCATTCTCATTTTTGTTTAAATAATTTATTTTACTAGCTGTCAGAACTACACTGAATCCATCTCCATGTCGGTGACAGATAAACATTTAACCCTTTCTTCAAGGTCAAGATATTAATGGCCTGAAACATCTCCAGACCCTCAGGTCTTCCCAACCCACATCCATCATATCCCTCTTTGACATTTCTAATGTGAAGAACACCTGACTTCTGATTCTGATGGGGGAGCAGCATCTGGAATTTGACAATCTGGTTTTCTTTTTTTCAGTCCTGTCTCTGATCAAGAGAAGTTCTAATAAATTATTTAACCCTATAACATTATCCCAGTGACCTTACTCACATATGATATCAGTTTAGAAAAGAGAAACTAACGAATAAGTAAACTAATTGGAATCCATTTTAATCCTACCAATTTTTTCTACAGAGCAAGAACATTTCACACATATCAAGTTATGTTTTCCTGTTCTAAGATTTTTCTCTGTATATTTTTGTATAATTAATAATAGTTTCCCCCAAACACGGCAAGAATTCATGGGACATCAGGACTAAGTTTCGGTTTAAGAATAATTCTGTATCAAGTAGAACTTACATTGACGCAAAACTCTTTTCTAGTGCAAACTACAGTGGTGGTTTTCTGATTTCAATATTTTTTTGGAGGGAAAAAGCCTATTAGATTTCAGGAATATACTGGAATGTTTTTATTTCATATGATTCTAGGCACTATTAAAAATAACTTATACTTTACTTACATGTCTCCTGAAGAGTTCAGCATGGGGTGCTAATGTCTGAGGATCTGCTTCTTTTACAAATTGCATTACTTCATCAATTGACCATGTTGAAGGGTCTTTGCTGAAGAGATGCGAAGATTCCTGTTTTAGGGCACTGAGTTCAGGTCCTGTTTTAGAACTTGCAGCTTAAACACACAAAAGGAGGAAACTGAAGAAGCTGGAGAAATAACCAAGGCATTTTGAGAATACGTGCACACATTCAAATAGCTTTTATAGTTATTGGTGAATAGAAAACAACCCTCCCAATTATTTTCCCATTTTATGAATGTAATCTGCAAATATCTTGCTAATTAATGCAGTGATGACCTATACATTACACACACACACACACACACACACACACTACGGGAAGGCATTTTTCCCAGCCTAGTGGCTTCCAAATGTTGCTTCCCCAAATTCCTATTTATGATGACTTCCAAGAATATCAGTTGAACATTCTGTAAATTACTTTAGCACACCTGGAGAGTATACTTAGTTAGAAAGGCCATGATAGTAGCTTGTTTCTGTTAGTAATTAATTATACATGTTTACTCTTAAAACTCCTCTGTATTGGATTTTCCTTCAAGGTACCATGTGCATTTATAAAACAAAGCAAAATTGTTCATTTTGGCAAAATAATGGCTTGACTTATGTTGTGATTCGATTAAGACAAAGGAATTACCTCAAAGAGAAATCCAGAAGCAGAAAACAGACAAGTATAATCTATGTGGTTTCTCTTGTCCTCCTTCCTTCCTTCCTTCCTTCCTTCCTTCCTTTTCCTTCCCCTCCCCTCTGCAATAAATGCTAAATTAATTACCCAAGTGAAGATTCTGGTTTGAGTATGTCTGCTAAATTTGCAGACTCCTTTTATATATTTAGAATGATAAAGTGCTTTTAGAGCCAGTTTTATACATATTGATGTGCACACAAAAAAAGCATGAACTTTTAGAAAAGCTTGAGAATACCTTCAATCCTCTGTTGCAATCTCTTTCTGGCAATTTCACAATAACTTTTGTTCCCAGTAGCACTTGATAATTTCTGTAGATTTGGTGCTGTGTTTGAGGTAGCAGATATTGAAGGAAGAGAATGCCTAAAATAGGCTATGTTCCCTGAGGTACAATATTCAGTGGAAATCTGATTGTTAGGACTTGACAGGATGACTGAATTAAGTGCAGAATCCATTGAATTCTCAGCAAACCTGTGCTCTTTGGATGTTTCTTCACTTGGCAGGGTTTCTGCTATACAGAATTTAACACAACTAGATTATTAATAATAAATATAAATATACTACTACATAAATATTTATACTACTATAAATATTTCATTGAAAAGTTTGCTTTAATATAAACATTACCTACTTAAGAAAACTTTACCAAGGTGAATAGGTTAACAACTCTGCAAGGAACATAGTATTACTAACTATCCAAATTTATTCCCCACTCTATGTCATTTGAATCAGAAAGATTGATTTTGGGGGAAAAGGAAAAAAGAGAAATTCTGAAAGAGAAACACAAAAGAAACTGATCCATCTTATCAAATTGTTTGACACTGATAGTGAGCTGTCTAAAAAGTGAAGAAATAAGTATGGATTGTCATGCTGAAGCCAAAGTTTAGAAAAGGCATTTTTGCATGCTGTGTGCAACAAAGAAGAATCCTGTGTTCAACTATCTCACTGGGCTAGACAGCAAAAGAAACTCCTGGGACATTTTTTACTGAGAGTATAACTTTAATGAAGATTCCATATGGGTATAGAAGTAGAAAAGCCAGTTCTAATGATGTCATTCCAAGCAGTATAGGAAAACTTTCACTTTCCCCCCTGGATCTCCCATTGTCCATTGCCACCAATCATTTGCACTTGCTTTGTTTTGGGAATGGTCTGTCTGCATCTGACGTTCCCAGCAGGTCACCTTGGGGTGTTGTCTCAGGCCTCTACTCAGCACATTTGCATTCCAAATTTCCCAAGGAGGACACTGAAATCTCCATCCTAGCAGGCATAGGGACAATGGGGCCATTTACCATTTCTCTCACTGTCAATCTCACAGAAGACTGGCCCCATCTTGGCAGGAGTCTGAGCTCCCGCCTCCTTGCTGGACGGAGGAGAGAACTCTATGACTTGCTGCCCTTCATGACTTTTTTCCCTTGACTTCAGTGGAGTTTTTTTCCTTTGGTTGGTTTGGAGGCAGGGGAGCAGTCATCAACAATGGCATGAGACACATGGCAGCTTGGTACTCCTCCTTTCCGCAGCAAAAGCAGCCACCAAGGTTCTGGCGGGGTATCTCTCCTCTGGCTGGAAGTGCACCCTTTTCCCCCTCTAGGAGCCACTTGCTTCTCCATGGGGCAGTGAAACTGACTCTCTAGCCCAATATGTTCATGGAACTCCATCAGGTCAATCTCTACCTTGGTGGCCACACGGTACCACACCTGCAGGTTGCATGGCACCTCCCCAGAGTACAGAATTCCGGTACAGTTGTTTGTCCAATCTCTACTGGTAGACCAGTAAGCATTCAGGCCAGTCTCCTAAGTGGATTGCCAGGATGCAGAAATCTTGAATGTACTCCATTACTAGCTGCTTCCCCTCCTTCAGTGCATGGATGCAGGCTTCCATACCAGGCTGCCACAGAGTTTTCAAACTGCTCTCACAGGGCTTGCATGAAGGCATTGAGGTCATCCAGCTCTGGGGCATTCATCATGCAGTGACACCAACCACTCCGAAGCACTCTCTTCCAGATTGACTGCAATGACATGGACCTGGGCCATATTGGCTGGATATATTGTTCCATAACATTCCATGTGGTGTCAGGCTTAAGTCAGGAAATGGTCTAGGCAGTTTGGGCATCTATTGAAATTGTCCACCAGGGGGAGTGACTGGCACTCCTCCTGTGCCAGGATGAATCCCTGGGGTGGAATACCATCTGTTGCCACCAGTTCTGAGATTCCAGTCATGGTTGCTTGTGCTGGGCCCCCAACCACAGCTGGGGCCACTGGCGCTGTTGGCTGCAAACAGAGGAATTGCAAATCCCACGGCTGCTGCCACCTGTGTTGAGGCTCTGGCTGCAGCTACAACCGCCGGTGCCACCAACTGAAGTATAGGAAAAGGAATAGCCAGGACTGCCTAGATTTTCATGATTCCTGGCCCACTGGTGATGATCATGGCTCCTGGCATTGCTGTAGCACAAATTTCTATCTCTCCAAACTTCTCTCTCAACTGTTCCATGAATGGGTTATTGCTGGTGGTCAGGAGCTTCCACTCAGTGGGGTCAATCCCATTTGGCTAGTAGCATTGCCATCCACTTGCCGCCTTGGACCCTGTTGACCCTGGAAGAGAGTCTTCGGCCTCCACTGCCTTGCCCACATTCATTGCCCAGCCTCTTTGCTCATGTTTGTTGTCTTCAGCCCCTGGTACAGGATATTCCTTACTTGCTCCTTAATGGCTGCTGCTGGTTGCTTGAACTTCTCTTTGGTTTCGGGCACATGCTGGCTAGTTGCACTCCTGCTCTTGCTTGAGGTGGTGCCAGTCTTCCCAAGCCAAGGCCTCGTCCAACTTCTTCTCTTCCAAGTCTTTGCCCGTAGCTAACATTTCGGGGTTGACCTCCTGGTGGGATCCAGGTAGACCATTTCTATGAGAACTGGTTTAATGTCAACTGTCCCACTGGGTTAGAGAGCAAAAGAAACTCTTGGGATGTTTTTCTTTTACCAAGAATATAACTTTACTGAAGATTGCATATGGATAGAGAAGTAGAAAAGCCAGATCTAACAATTTTGCACACAAACAGCATAGGAAAACTTTCCCTTTTCCCACTCGACTTCCCATTGTCCATTATCCACCATTCATTCACATTTGCTTTGTTTGGGGAACAGACTGTCTGCCTCAGATATTCCCAACCGGTGACTTTGCGGTGTTGGGTCTGTCTCAGCCTTCCAATCAGGACACTTGCATTCCAAATTTCCCTTCCAAGCCTCCCTTACATTCCAATGCTTTCCTTCTCCCCTCCTATTATTGTTGTCTGGTTGTGAGCAGGGCTGCGCAGTGAGTCAACCATGACATGTGTTTACTCCTAAAATAGTAATTGTTAGTTCTCAATATAGGGAAAGACAAATAGTTTACCAACTTCAAAAATGATTTGGAAAGAATGCTTTGGTCTCAGGTACATCTCTGATATTTATTAAAGCATAATGTCTTTCTCTATTCTTCCATGAGATGCTTTATTCCGACTATCCATTTCCATTATTAAGACACATTTACAGGGAGGGAATTTGCACAGCCTGAAACAAGCACATATCAATTCTTACAACATATTGAGTGATACCCTTCCTCCTAATAAGGAAAGGCTGCCAATTTCCTTTGACATACTGTCTGGATATAGATCTCTCAGTAATCTTCAAATCATCAATTTCCAATTTGATACTTCAGAAGAGCTTCCTTCTCTCATCCCTTGTTGTTTTTGTTTGGAAGGATTGAACTCATTTTACTGTTTAGGCATTCCAGAATTTAGAAATATTTAATTCTAATCTGACTGACAAGACCTGAAATTTCCATGAAAAAATAAGAGTAAATTCTATGGGACTAAATTCTTCTGAGTGTATGGAAGACTTGACTGCTTGTAAAATTTTGAGTGTGTGATTTCTGCATGGGATGCCCAGAACTGTAGTTAAATGTTATTGACTGTCTTTATAAATGTTCTACATTATAACATTTATGGCAGGAACATATTTTGGTCCATTGTATACCTTAAGTCTTGCAAAATTTTAGCATCTCTTTAAAAGAAAATCAAACAAGTGGGGGGAGGGCTGTTTTCTGGAAATAGCATTATGGGATTATGGGACAAAACATGTAACATAAATCTCTGCAAGACTTGATGGACAACTTTCAGCCCTTGCCATTCCACAAACTGATCCAAACATTTCAATTTCACTATGCCCATTGACAACATAGCAATCAATGACCCTTAGCAAGAAGATGCAGCACATCCAGGCCCTAGAATGAAAAAGGTTGTTTATTCTTACTGTAAGTGAAGATAATTAAAATTCAGTTTACCTTCAGATGGGTGAGCTTCAGTTCTTAGAAGCTTAGGAGACAGGGGGACAGGATAGGGGGGTGAATCCTGAGAATATCGCTTTGCACTTCTGCTGTTTAATATTTGTTCTTTTGCTTTATGTTCAAAAGGAATTAAGGAGTTATAAATGAATGCAATAATTCAAATGTACATACACTTAAAGCTCCACTTTACAAAGATTTCAAATTTCTATAGTAGCAAATTTAGAAATAGTTTAGAATCACTAGATACAACAATATTTGCCAGTATAGCAGTCACAACAGATTCAGGAAAGCTTCTCTATAGAGACAGATTTGGAATATGGATGGGTAATGGGCCACCTTAATTAATAGTACCTGCCTCATTAATCTTTCCATGAAAAATGCATATGGACCTTTAATTGTGATGCAATTCCTTCTGTCCATGTATTTTTCTGTAGTATTTAGTTCAAAGCATTCCCAATGAGTAATTTAATTATGAAATTAGAAAATTAGAAATCAGAATTCTTTATTAGCCAAGTATGATTGAAGAAATTTGTCTCCAGTGCATAAGCTCTCAGTGTACATACAAACAACAAAATGATAGATCGTATATCATACCAAATAGTTACATTTTCCATAAATGAGAATTGAATCAGAAGCACACAACAAATGAACTGAAATTAATGTTTTCACCTTAATCTGTTTAAGGGGGGAAAGGTGGTTAAATAGGGATGCTTTAATTATTGCCTATTTTATATATTTAATATACAAGATTTGGTCATTGGTCAATGACAAAATAGGCAAGAATTAAAACATCATACTTAACCACCTTGCCCCCTTCCACTTACTATTTCTGTAGAAAGTTGTTGAAAGGTGGTTGGGACTCAGCTTCAGAGATCACTAAATGAAAAGGATTATCTGGACTCTTTTTCAGTCTGGGTTAAAACCAAGTACAGAACCGAGACAGCATTGTTATGCTTGCTGATTACCTTTGGATAGCTTGGAATTGGGGTAGTGCAGTTGACCTGCTCTCTGGGATCTCTCAGCAGCTTTCGATACCATCAACCATGGTATCCTTCTGCACTGGATCCAGGAGGTATTGTTTTGTGGTGATTCTCCTCTTTCTCTGTGGCTAGTCCTGTCAGTGTTGCTGATCAAGGAGAGATCAAGCTCTGAGCCCCTGCAGTTTGTGTGTGGTATGGGGGATGCCTCAAGGTTCTGGTTTCTCCCCTATCCTCTCTAATATGTATGCAAAACCACTGGGTAAATTAATCCAACCACAAGGGCTATGGTATTATCACTACGCTGATGATACCCAGCCATACATTTCTACTTCTGGCCAACAGATGGTACTGTTGCAGTGCTGTCCATGTGCCTGGAGGCTGTAATTGTCTGGATAGGGATGAACATTTAACAATATACTTAAGGCTGTAGTCCATATGAATCCTGATCCAAATGCAGTATGTTAGGTGGTTTTAAATCGTGTTGCTTGTATCTTTACAATTTATATTGTTTTGTTTCCTAGTATGATTTGATTGCTTATTAGTAACCTATGACTAAGTGTTGTATCTTATGATTCTTGATGAAAGTGTTGTATGTTATGATTCTTTATGTCCACTGAGAGCATATGCACCAAAGACAAATTCTTTGTGTGTCCAATCACACTTGGCCAATAAAGAATTCTATTCTATTAATTCACTTGAAACAGGACAAAACCAATTCATCCAGTTTCTAAATCAGAATTCTAATATACAGGGATACCAAAAGTCAGGCCCCATAGGCCAATCACAATATTAATATTTTTTTCAGAGAATATTACTGTGCTTAGGAATATTTAAAAGTCATGCATGAAACAAGTAAGAATGTATTTAGAAGTAAATATGTTAACTTAGGTTATATAATAAAGTATCTATGAGATCTGACTTTTAGAACCCCATATATAATTCAAGTATAAAATAGTTATTTTGGGCACCTTGTATCTTAATAAACAGTACCGCCCTGTCCTCAATGAATGATCCTTGCAATCGTCCTCCTAATCAATGTGACTTGGGTGGGTGATGAATAATAGAGATATAACCGTCCTTTTCTTTATGCATATATTCAGTGACCCATTACAATAAACAGATTTCTTTCTGAATTTCTCCTATTTTCACACAAGGTTGGCATCTCAGTCAAATTGAACTGCCAAAGGATCACTGGAATTGTGGTGGAAAAGCTGTGAAGAAGCGTGTGGTATACTCAAAAGCAGAAACCCTCTGCACTGATTTATGTGTAGTATATCCCATCACAATAGTGTTTATCTTTCCTATATCTTTTGTTCCATTTTGGTGAAAAATAAAAGGATTATGTACCCTAATAATCAAAATTTCTAAAGCATAAGTTAGAAACAGATGCACTAATTTCTTCCACTAAATTTCCTACAAATGTTGTTTCATGCTAAAACCACCTTTATGGTTTTTTCCACTTCAGGTTGGATAATTAAAAAATCACCATTAATGTTCAAAAGAAATGAAATTCTGTATTTTTCGCTTCATAAGACACTATTTTTTCCCCCCCAAAAGTGGGTGAAAATGTCTGTGCGCTTTATGGAGCAAATATGATGAATAGCAGCCGGGCCACGGCTACGGGGCCCTTTTACTGTGCTGAACCCCACCTCTTCTGGCTCTTTTCCTCAGTGCAGGAGTGAATAGGCAGAGCTGGCACGTGAGAAGACACCTATCTGTGGTCCTCTCCTGCCCTCACTACACTGCTGCTCCATATTTGGCACCCCATATTCACAGTGAAACGTTTCTCCATATCATTTTTTTTTGTCGTTTCCTCCTCGAAACCTAGGTGGGTCTTATGGTCCAGGTATGTCTTATAGAATGAAAAATACAGTCTCTTTCCATTGGGCAAGACAAGTCAGCTTCCAAGCTGTTAAATCTTGCTACGAAGCTGGTGGTAAGTCTTTAACTGTCCTAATTTTGACTATATCCATTGAAACAGACTAAATCCTTGGTTGATGGCCATAATGCTAGTGGCTGTTCAGTCATTATAGCATATATGGTACAGCTAGAAACCAGCATTGCACCTCATGTGACCGACTATAAGCAAGTAAGCAATGTGAAATCAGGACTATGTAAGCTGAGCATTAAAACACAAAGTTCTACAGATACTTATTTCAGATTTACAGATTTCAACAGGCAATTGTAAACTAAAGAATTTATCATACTATTTTCTTATCATAGCCGTTGCAAATCCATACTAATGCTATCCAGCAATCTGGACTCAATGTAGAAAAAGTATTTCTGTATGTAGAACTCACACTACAAGTGTCAGCAACTTTTTAAGGAAGCTGCATTTTTCTGGGCCTCTGAGGAAAGTGTATTTGATTTTAAAATGTGCCAATAGCTATAACATGCATATTCTGAATCTCACTTTTCTCTTTGAATATGGATTGGATTTGTAGTGGTTTTCAGTATACCTTACTTTTAATTCTATAGTGAATAGCAACGATGGCTGACCTTGGGGGGGGGGGGGGCTCAGATGTTAAGTAGGGTCAATCCTCCTTGGTATTTGGACACCAGACTATTAAATACCATGTCTGCAGAATACCCTGGGAAATAGAAGTCCCTGAAAAAAGCTTCTGAATGTTGCTGAAAAGTTACATAAGCATGTCCTGTAAATTAAAGTATACTTTAAAACTTTAGAACTTGTAATTACACATGTGGGAAAAAAGCAAAACTATCTACTTTTGAAAATTCTTACTGAATCACTGTGCACTATAATTCAAAATGATTATTCTACTATTTTGTCTCTTGCTTGTTTTGTTTCTAAATATAAATATACACAAGAGCTATGACAAGGAAAGGAACTAAAGCAATCAGAACGTTACCTGACTTGTTTCTATCATGTTCAATGGGACTATGTGCATTTCCCATGTAAGGACTAAAGGGCTGGCTACTGAAAAGATTATCACACTGCAGGCTGTGGCAAAGTTTCTCCAAGAAACGCAGAACAAAAGATGCACTATTCACAGAAGGAAGATTGATGGCATGTTTTTCCTCATCAAAAGAGGCTGTCAATAAAAAGATTTTTAAAAATAACCAATATTATTATATACAATGAAATACCACCAGTGTCTAACAGAAGCTATCTCCCTTTTAATGAATCCTAGGAATAAAAAGAAGACAGCAATTTTTGTACTTTTTCTCTACCAAGAGGTTTTGGACTATTTGCAGTATCTCTATGCTAATCAATGTGCATTTGTTTTGCCAAGTTTGAAAAGCACATTTTAAAAAACTATTAATTTTCAAGAATGTAATATTATTCAAATGCAAAGAGTTCACAGGGCTCCTCCCTATCTCTGAAAATATATGTTCCTTTGGGCTATTAGGAATGATTAGGAGCACCAGCCCATTTCTACTGCCCTAGGGCCAGTACTGCAAATCTGAATTATTCGTTTTATATTTGGGAATGGATGGGCAATTGGTTTCCAGCCAGGAAAAGCACAATGACCAAACTGAGAACTCTTTTTCCACTGTCATGATATTAAACATTAATTTGAAATCAATGTGTCTTCTAGAAGATTAAATTTAATAATGCTAGATATAAGGTGTGACAGCTTAAATGGCCACAGAAAACGGTCTCATTTGGCATTAATATGTATGTATGTATGTATGTATGTATGTATGTATGTATGTATGTATGTATATAGTAAATACTGATTGTGGTTAGTTTACAACAGGGGAGTCAAACTTGATTTCATTGAGGGCCACATCAGGGTTGTGTTTGACCTTGGGGGGCCAGAGTGGGTGTGGCCAGATCAACATCACTAGTGTCAGGGGCACCTGTGGTGGCCCAAACGCTCTGCCAGCAAAAACGGGCTCCTGAGCTCTTTTTTCGGCTGTGATGGCCTCCTGCAACCCTCTGCCAGTGAAAACAGAGCTCAGGAGGGCTGCCCGCAACAGCCTCCTGCAACCCTCTGCCAGATGGCCTCCTGCGTGCAGCCCTTGTGAGCTTTGTTTTCAACTGAAATAGCTTCCTGCAACCCTCTGCCAGCAAAAACAGGCGGCCCTCACAAGCTCTGTTTTAGCTGGCAGAGACCCCTTGGGCCAATCCTTCTTTGATTCCAGGGAGGCCCCATTGGCCCCATCTAAGCACTTGAGTTTTGAGTTTGACACCCCTGGTTTACAAGAATCACTAACTAATTGTATTGCATATACAATTAACAATAGGCCAGAAATTTGGCTTATTCTGCATGTCAACATTGTGCTGGTGAAAAAAAACTCATTTGTTTTCACCTCTTTGTATAAAAGGATAAAGCCAACTGAAAATAAAAAACTTCCTATAATATTAAATTGGGCCCCATTAGCCAAATAATCATGACTCACAAACCTAAAGGGATCATTGAAATGAAAGTATTCATTCTTAGCAGAATCCCAAAGGTGCTTTTTCAAAAGGCAACTAGACTTTCTTTGTTTTCCTTGAAGACATTTCAGTTCTCATATAATAAGCTTCTTCAGTTCACATCTAAGAAGCTTCTTGAATGAGAAGCAAAACATCTTTAAGGAAAAACAAAGAAAGTTGCCTTTAAAAATGCACCTTTGGGACAACCATGGCCTGGATGAGTGAGAATCTCCATATACATTCTTAGCAGAATATAAGCCAGAGTTGATTTGTTGTTCACAAATGCAATATACGCACAAAGTTGAAGTCTAAATATAAATCATATAAAATAATGTACCAGTAATAATCTCTCCAGCATGATGCCCAGCCCTGAGGAATCCAAAGACAATTTTTGATTGATAGGCACAATTGACACAAGCTTGGACAGCCTGCTGAAGTACTACATTCACAGGACCTGGTCCAAAGTGATCAGGAAGCTGCTGAATTTTCTTTTTATCAAGATGAGGCCCAGAATTTCCGTTCTTGTTAACATAGACACAAACTAAAAGACAGAACAAAACACAATGTAAAATTCATCTTTATCTACATTCTTAAAGGCATCTCAGTGGCATAAAATTTAGGTTCTGACAAATGAACAAATAAAACTCATCTTTGTCTACTATATTTCTTACCCAGGAAATTCTTGCTTTGCCTTTTAACACCAAAAGCAACTGGAATCCTAAAATTTTGCTTACATGGTACATTCAGATGAACCACAATGTCAACCTTGAGTACATGTTCACATTTATTACACTTTCAATCCTGTTTTTTGCTACATTTTCCAGAATTAAAGAGAAAATAGAATCCCTTCAATCTAAACTATCAGTCTTTATTTTGTTCTCCTTTATTAAACATCTGCTCCCCTCATCCCTCCCCAAAGGTTTGACTTCCAAAACCTTATAGGGAATATGCAAATATTTTGTCAAAATTACATTGAATGCATCCACAGCACAGAATCTTAAAAGAAATTGTTTACAATTTAAAGCAAAACAACTAAATAGCTGGCCTAAAACAGAACCAAAGATGCCAAACACGATTAGCAGTAGGGAAAAAAATTCTTTCTGCTCTGGGTAGATTAAAATAGAAAGATAAAAAGATTGCTTAACAAAGATGATACACAGACAAGGATAATAAAAGTACACACATAGCCACAAAATACAATCAATGGGGATAAAAAAAGAAAAGGGAAATTTGAAAGCAAGATTATAGAAATTGGAAGGGACATTTAAACATGTAATAGAGTAAAAGAAAAAAAGAAAAGTCACTTAGTAGTTGCACAGAAATTTAGAAAACAAGAAAATAGCTGTGAAAAAATAAATTATTATCAGGAGATAAGACATACAGAAAATACTCAAGTACACTAAATAAAGTTTGGGGGAAAATAGCATTATTTGTCTGTTATTATTTGATACTATCTGCTGATCCCCAGTGAAACAGAAAATAATGCTACAGAAGAAAAAAAATTCTGGTTGATATTGTGGTTGTACAGTCAAGGGAACACGGAGCTCTGCTCCCCACAATCAGTTTCATTTTGCCAGGGAGCCCTAAGGGGCTGAAAGTTGCCCCATAGAGGTGACAATAAAGATGGGAACCCGTTCTTCACAAACGGATGGTGATTGGCTTGTTTGATCTGGGGAAAACCCTCCAAACCAGCAGGAGAAAGGCAAACCACATTCATGTTGGCAACCTGAAACCATTGACAACCAGGGAAGAAAGCTGTCTGCGTTGTTTATACGCCAATTAATAGATAGTTATCATCGTGTTTTGGATCCAGTCTCTAAAGATTTAACTGAGAGAAATGACACCCAGTGGCAGACAGAAGAAAGAGCTGTTGAAATTTGTTGTTTCTAAGATAAGGGATTGGCTTGGAGCCCATATCTGATTAGCATTCCTGATCTCCTTGAAGATGGGGAAATCCCAGACCAGCATGGAACAGCTGGCGACAGAGAAGACTTTTTGTAGCTTCCTGATCGGTGGGGATTATCAACTGGATTAAAGCCTGGCTACTTTGGATTACAAAAATTGATTGATTTATAATTCAGAATCTGTAAGAATTAGTTGGAGGCAGAAGAAATTTTGTGATTTATCTGGTGATTGACCGGACTAAGGCCAACTGGCTACTTTGGATTATAAACATCGATTGAACTGCAATCTTAGATCGTCGATATGCTATGACGGGTTTTACAACTATTCTTTTAGACTTGATGTTGACTGATAGAGCTGATTATAACTTCCATCTGATGAAGTTAAATATTGGAACATACTGGATTATAAAGGCTATAGATAAAATGAAAGTTAATAAGAACTATATTTAATGTTGTATTCAAACTGTCTATTGATGTATTGAACAAGATTTGTTATACGAGACAAGGACAGTTTTTCTGGGAACATACTAGCTCGATAATAGAGTAACTGGAGGGTGGGGACAAAAATGAGTGTACCAAATCTTGCTAACATTATTAAAAAGCCATTCTCAGCACCCCCATCTGGAGCTCCTAGCCCTATACATCAGAGATCTATAGCTTCAACAAGAAAAATCCAAAAACTTCTAAAAGGAAATGCAGACAACACTACAGACGATCCAAGAATCAATTGCTTCACATAAAAAAGATGCAAGAAGAAATCATGAGACAAAAAATAACCAGCATAAACTAGAAGAAAAAATGGGTAAGATAAATGAGGTTTTTAATATAAATTCTCAGCTAGAAAAATACCAACAAATGATTGCAAAGAATGAACAAAGAATCCAGAAAATGGAGGATAAATCAGAAGAAACTGAGAAGAAGATGGAGGAAATAAATGGAGCAAATAAGAATTTGGAAGACAGAGTAGCAATATTGGAGATGAAGAAAGCTTCATATTTATTAGGACTCCAGAATATACATGAAGACCAGAAGGAGGATCTGACAGAATTGGTCACAAATTTGTTGGCAGAAGCACTGGAAATTGTAAAAGAAGAGATGGAAAAAAGCTCAAATATATAGAATCAATTCAAGCTATGCAAAAAGACACAGAGTGCCTAGGGAGGTACATGTTAAATTTGTGAAAAGAACAATAAGGGATGAAATATTGAAGAGTGCAAATATTGCAACATAGAAAAAGGGAGATTGTGGTCTTAAAACAATCCCCTGGAATATAAGAGATTTACAAATACAATATCAATTCTTGATCTCAAAATTAAATGAAAAAGGAATAAATTTTAGATGGCTAGTCCCATAAAGGATCCTAATTAGTTGGAATTGTAGAAGATATAGATTGAACTCCACCCTCAAGGCAGCAGAATTTTATGAGTCATACAATTTTTTTTGAAGAAGTACAACATACACAAGCAGATAAAGAACTTAACAAGCACAAAGAAATAGCAACAGAAGAGACAGTAGCACAAAGCAAAGAAGAAGAAAATACAAATCAAGGAGGAGAGGGACTAATAAGAGAACAAAGACAGAAAAGAATTACTAGGAAACAAAAACCCAAATACAAGTAAATAAGATGGAGAAATAAAATGGAATTCTCTCAAGGAATATAAATGGACTTAATCCCCCCGCAAAAAGGAGGAAAATCTTTACATGGTTATGAAAATTAAAAACAGATATAATCTGTTTGCAAGAAACACAAATAAAAAAACAATATAAACTTCTGGAATACCTCAAAATTGGGAACCTGTATTTTACATCAGCACAAAAGAAAAGGATAGCACTATATATTAAAAAGACAGTAGACTCCAAACAGGTCTACATAGATGAAGGAAGAATTTTGGTGGTAAATCAAAAAAGATATTGATAATAACAATATATGCACCAAATAATAAACATTTTTTTTATCACACATTGCACAGGAAAATACTGGAAATGGAATGTCAAAATATTTGTCTCGTAGGAGATTTTAATGCAATTGTGAATGATAAATTAGATTATAACAGTGGCAAAATTTGAAAAAAAAGGAAGAAAGAGACTACGCCAGAACTGAAAAAAGAAAAAGAGAAAAACTTGATAAATGAACTCCAAGATGAACGGGGATGTGTACAATTTCAAAATGAGATAATAAAAAAATAGTTAAAGAATATTATGAAACATTAGATGATATAGAAAAAAAATACACAATATATGGAAAAAGCCAACCTACCCAAAATCCTAGAGAACTCTGAAAAGATATAAATGGAAAAATAACAATGAGGGAACTGATAGCTGTAAAAAAGCCCCCAAAATGATAAAACTCCAAGTCCAGATGGGCTTCCTGAAGAATTCTATAAATGCTTTCTAGATACGCTAAGCTCTCCAATGAAGGAAGTTTGCAATGAGTTATTATCACAGGCTAAACTACCAAATACATGGACAGAAGCCAATATTACCGTAATACCAAAAGAGGATTCAGATTTGACAGAGATAAAAAATTATAGACCAATATCACTATTGAATGTGATTACAAAAGTTTTGCCTCAATAATAGCAGAGATTGAAAGATTTTTGATTGAATACAGATCAAATTGGATTCTTACCAAAAAGACAGAATTTCAGGATTATACTAGATACATTAGAATACTATGAAATGTACCCAGGAAAACAAATGATACTAATTTTTTTAGATGCTCAAAAAGCTTTTGATAATGTAAGCTGGCAATTTATGAGACAACAATTAAACTGTATGTATTTTGGAGAAAATTTTATTAATGTAATCAATGTAAATGGGGACTATACACAGAATTTTAATATAAAGCAAGGCACAAGACAAGTATGTCCATTATCGCCTTTATTATTTATATTGACCTTGGAAGTCTTGAACATCAGACAAGATCCAGAAATTAAAGGCATGGAGATAAAAGATGAAAGATATAAATTACAAACACTTGCAGATGACGTGGTATTTATCATAGAACAGCTGGAGACAATTCCTAAACTAGGGATCTTCAAACTTGACAGCTTTAAGACTTGTGGACTTCAACTCCCAGAATTCATCCTCCAGTCATGTTAGCTCAAGAATACTGGGAGTTTAAGTCCACAAGTCTTAAACTTGCCATGTGTGAAGACCCTTGTCCTAAACTATTGAAAAGGATCGAGGAGTTTGGAGAAGTAGCAGGTTTGAAGATAAACAGAGAAAAACTAAAATTATAGTTAAAAACCTTACACAGAAACAAAAAGAACAATTGTCAGAAAAAGTGGACTTTCAAATAGTCAAGAAAGTTAAATATTTGGGAATATACTTAACAGCAAGATGTGCAACAATAAAAGAAGATAACCATACAAAATAATTTAACCAAATAAAACAGGATCTGGAAAATGGAAAAACTTACAATTTCTATCAAGCCTATCAATATTAGGAAAAAATGCTATTGTGAACATGAGTATTTTACCAAAACTGCTCTGTTCCAAACAGTACCTATAAAAATTGAGAATAAATTCTTTAATGATCTGAACACACTGATTTTGAAATTTGTTTGGCAAGGAAAAAAAAGCTAGAATTCAACTGAAAATGTTACAAGAATCCAAAGTAAATGGAGGATTTGGACTACAGATTGGTTTTTAAACTATCAAGCATGTATTCTAACAAGAATGGATAACCCTTAGATACAAAAGATTGCTATATTTAGAAGGACATGACTTACAACTTGGATGGCATGCATTTTTATGGTATGAGAAAAATAAAAGCCACAGATATTTCCAAAATCACTATGTAAGAAATTCATTATTCTCTGTATGGGAAAAAAATCAAAAGCTAAAATCTGTTTGAGAATCCAAGGGTGGCTCTCAATGATGGAAGCGTTTATTCATCCAAATTTCACAATTTCTGGTGAAATTTGAGAAAATTTTGACATATAAAAAGGTATTTTGAATACTGTCGGGCAACTAAAATCTAAACAAGAGCTCTAAGACCAGAGTTTTGAGTTATCATGGTGGCCTGAACTGCAAATACAATCTAGATATGATAAAGATGCTGATATTGTTGAACTCCAATGAAAAACTTATTAAGAAACTATATAACTTTCTATGAAATTTGAAAATAGATATCTAGAACTAGAGAAACAGTAAAATATATGCGACAGAAATTATAAGTTAAAATTGGCAACTTCTTATAAAGAAAACTTATATAAAATGTTTTATAGATGGCACCTACCACCCACCAGGTTAGCCAAAATGTTCAAAAATATGTCTAGTAAATGTTGGAAATGTAACCAAAAATCTGGCCCATATTATCATTTGTGGTGGACTTGTGTTAAAGCAAAAACATTTCGGGCAAAAATACGCATGTGGTTAGAAAAGATGTCAGGAAAACATGTAGATCTTAAACCTGAACTTTTTTTGTTCAGAAAAAAATGATAAACAAAGTGTAATATATTTAATATTGCATGTATTAAGAGAAGTGAGGATTGTATTTGTTCAGCATTGGAAAAATGAAGAAATACCACTAGATGAAGAGATAATTAAGAAGATATTGGACTGTGCAGAAATGGACAGATTTACATTGAAGATCAAACAGAAAGATACAGAATACTATCAAACATGGATTTTATCAATGGCTGGAAAAAAGGGGTAAAGATTGGGAATATAATTTGTATTGTTAAGCAAATAAAACAACCCAGACAACACAATGTTTATTAAGCACTAATTAAATGTAATAGTAGAAAATTAATAAAACAAATAAAAAAAGAAAAGAAGAAACTAACAGATTTCCAAAGACGCACAACTTGAGTTCCGTTTAACACCATATATAGTATAATGTTTAATATACATTGGCACTTGAATAAAATATTGCTTTAAAAATTGATAACACATATTCTATATTTTCCAAATTGATGTAAATTTGGAATGTGTATCCAGTGCAAAGCCTCATAGCTACTTTCAGACTTGTTTTTGCACCTCTAAAACACTGTAGTACCTTAGAGTAAATTGAGAATCATCAGAATTTGTCCCCGTGAGATTTTTTTTAAATAGGTAAATTTACCTGTTGAAATAACGGCTACTGATGTTCCAGTGATAGCAGGTGCCTCTCCATATATCGGAGAGCTACTATTATCGACTTTTGCAGAAATAGGAGGAAAAAAGGTGGGAGGTTGCATTGTTAAGTTTTTTTTCTGTTGAAAAATAATATATTTTATTATATTAAAAATATTTTTGCAAATAGTCACATCATATTTAGGTCAATATCAATTGACAAAAATTCTGATACAGTGAATTATTGAATGCTGTCAAACGAGCATAAAATTGCTGTAGATTTACAGTTTATTCCTGATCTGAGATTCTCCAGAAGAGGCAAAAACATGATCTCAGCTAGAACTAGCAACCAGATGAGAGCTTTCAGAAGCTAGGCATCACATAAAACGACAACCAGTCCTATATTGAAATAAACATCTTTGGCAGATTTAGTCAACTGTTATAAAATATCTGCCTCAGCAAATTTTTAAAACTAGAGTGTATAAATATAGTAAATATCCTTTTGACCACTTATAGAAACATGCTGATCTATGGGGCCACTATTCTATTCCCATTTTCTTTAAATAACTCCCACTGAAAGGAAGTTCCACTAAATTAAAAGATTGTGTGTGTTTGTGTGTGTGTAGTCATACACATGGAGAGAAAGAGAAACGTAGTATAAAATTGATCCAGTTGAACTTATCTGCATTAAAGAAACAAGGAAGCAAAGAAAATGTGAAGCCTTTTTTGGGAGGGCAGTCACTTTCAGATTAAAAAAAAATAGTAACTCAGGAACACGGATTTTAAACCTTGGCAATTTAAGACCAAGTAAATATGCTAATGCTGTTTACACATTAAAATAATAAAATCGGTAACTTTCAAATTATATTCCACATTTGCACAGCAATAGAACACTTTGGAAACAGCTTTCAAAAATAATAAATAAACCTAGGTAAAATAGATTTGGTAAAGAAACTTTTACACATGGGGCAGGAGAATGCAATTTATTAATCAACAAAATAGACCATCACATCTATGATAAAAAATTTATACTAACTTTTCTTCCTGGATTTAAATCCTTTTTCCTTTTTTTGAGGTTTTCTTTGTGAGAAATGTTTTTGACTACCGGAATATTTTTAGGAGATGGGACTTTGCTAAGGACGGTGGATGGAGCCCGAGTGAGTTTCCTGCCTTTGGCAGTTGGAACAGGTGAAGCTGATTTCGGTGAAGAGTGCATTGAGCTTCGAGTTCCTTTGGAAGGAGAGGTCTGTGCTTTGGTATTATTTTTTGTGCTAGAAACTGTGGAAAAACACATGGACCGTCTTCATGGATTGTTAAAGCAATATCCAACCAACAGGATCCTCAGATTTTTTTTTTTTAATTCAGCAATACTTTAAAAGAGGTTTACAATCAATCATGAATTAATTTTAGACTAACTTTTCTGCAAGATAAGTTAAATAAAAAGATAAGTTAAAAATAAGATAGACTAACTTTTCTGCAAGGATTAAGGAAGGCCTGCTTTCTTATCCAGAAATTTGCCAGTGCACCTTGGTTTCTATGTTAAGAAAATCTTATTTCTGTACATAACACTTTCTGGAGGCACAACTACAGGCCTGGGTCTTTTCCCAACTTCCATCCCTGGGAACTCCAGTTGGGATATAACTGGATTATAGGAGAATTTAAGGCCAAACTACACATTACTTTAAAGATGTAACTAGTGTTTAAGATTTTGAGTTTTTTTACTTCAACTAAGTGAAATGAATCTGATTGTATCAAGAGAAACCGTGGAAGAAGGAGGATAGTTTTCTATGTCCATAATATTTCCTGTCTGGAAGAAAGCCTAACATTAGCAATTTATTTTGTCAAAAAGTGATGCAATGAGATTAGCAGGTATTTAAGGAATTAAACACATATAAATAATAAACAATGATAAGATTATGAATTTCTAAATATGTTTCCTTTATTCCTTAACTACTAATTAATTATCAGCATGCATTTTACACTTAAGTTACTGTTTGATATGTTTCTTTTTATTTAAAAGTAAGAAAAAGAAATATTTCATATTGGTATTTATTGGTAGGATCTATAAAGTTCACTCAAGCAAAACTTAACCCTATATAATCACCTTATATAATTTGACATTAGTTTTGACAAATTATAAAATGATTAACAATAAATGATAATAATCCATTTTGCTTGATAGTCTGCAATATTTATAAAATAAGTACAGATAAGAATACAAAATATGCAGGGACAAGAAGTACATAATAAGCAAAGTGAATAAACATAACCCTTAATAGTTCTATCGGTTTTAAAAGTGGTTATCATGTCAGAAAAACCAATATAGCAAACGTACAAGAAATTATTATACTAGGTAAATGCACACAAATACATCTCAAGAACAAAACGATAAATCTGTTTAAAATACTGTAAGAGTGATTTCTTTATAACGTATCTGGTAAATAAATACCAATTGTTAAAAGTTATATGCTTTGAAGTTGTGTGGGTTACTGTCAGAATATTACTAGCTGGATTATTCTAAAATGTCAAAGGGTGTTAGACCAACAAATTTCAAAACACAAAGGAAACAATTTTCAATGCCCGAGGTATAGAAAGACATGTTTCAAACTTTTACATACACATATTTGCATTTGATTTCCCTTCTGGGGTTGCTGCTGTTCTTAACGTACAGATATAATAAATTAAGTCTCCTAAAATGCCATATAAATATTTCTTTTTCTATATATATATTTGCATTTGTTGATTTTAGAGTGAAAAAAGTAGGGGAACAAAGTGGAATGGAAACTGTTAAAGCAATTTACATATTGTCTATGGTGTCAAACTCAAAACCTGTGGGCCAGATATGGCCTGAGATGTGGTTATATCTGGCCTGAGGAGCTGCCCTAGAAACAACAAAGGACAGGCCTGTGGTGCCTCAGCCCAGCCCAGATCGACCAGGCGCTGATCTACAACCTGGTGGTGGCCATCTGGGCTGGAATGCAATCGGCCTTAGATCCATGCCCCCATCCAGTCCCCTCAGCATGTGCAAAGGAGGTGGTGGGCGTGCATGGGGCCTAGCATCCCCGGGGACCAACTTATCCCACAGGATGATGTGTACTTACCACCTCCTGTGTGCATGCACAGGGGGCAGGGGCTGAGGCAGCAGGGTGGTCTCTCACTAGCTCTAGGGGTCCATGCAGGTCAGATTTAAGGCTAACCACGTGCCTGTTCAGATGGCCGTTCTTCCTCCTTCTCCAAGTTCTTTCCAAGTTCTGGCATGTACGTGCGTGTACGTTTTTAATTCCCAGATCTTTGAATAGTGGGTGCTAGAGATTCATGGCTGGCAATGAGTACAGGCTAATTGCTGCTGGAATTTGGCAGAGAGAAGGGGGGGAGTGCTGGAATGTAGTTTTATTTTATTTTTTCAGGGGGTTGGGGAAGAAAGCCATGAAAGCCTCCCAAGGTGGCCGGGGGGTGGGGTGGGGGGACGACAGACTGGAAATATGCAGAGAACAGGGCAGCTCCCATTCATTTATGGTTCATAGATGGAAGGGGTGAGCAAACAAACAGGGATTTGTTTTTGTTTCTTCTTTTTTTAATTTGCCACAGCCTCTTCTGGGTCTCTTGGCAACTTTTGATGTTTTTCATCCCAAGTTCAATCATTTTGGGGGGGGAGGCTGGGGGAGGAAATTGAAATTGGGGAAGAGGAAGGAAATCTCTTGTGGAAAGGGGTGTCTGTATATTGATGTATTTGGGGAGGGAATTGGAATACACAGCTAGGAAAGAGGAAAACTGATGGCAAACCGGTAATTTTTTTTAAACAAAAAGTGGGCAGGAGCACAGGTTGTAAGATTTTGGAGTCTTCAACTGTCAAGTGATGATTTCTCTTCCACCACTTCTTCCTCACGTTTCTCCCCCCCACCCCAAAATAAGACTTTTTGACCAGAGGAGTTTGCTTGGCTCCTGAAGAAGCTGCAACTCGCTTCTTGCTTGAGGTTTTTGGCCCTGAGTTCAGGTTGGCTCCAAAGTGTGGCCGGAGTGGCTGTGGGTGGGTGTGAATTGCATGCTGAATTTTATTTGTGCATGCGCCCAGGACTGCCAATCTCTCCCCTTCCCCTCGTTCCTTCCTGAGCACAGAGGAAGGAAAGAAATGGGAATGAGAATCAAAGAAGGGAGGGAGGCAGGGAAGTAGGAAGGGAGGGAAAGAGGGAGGAAGGAAGGAGAGGCAACTTGGTTGGGGATGCCCCAGTTCACATAGTTCTGTGTCAATCCTGGATCCATTGAGCCTTGGGCTCAAAGGAGGAAGCAATTTTGTGTTCTGTTTTGTCACAGTTTCCAAATTAACATTAGTATTCTTGAATTGTGAGCTCTTAGGAGAGTATTGCCTCCTTTAGTGTTGCAAACAGCCCTTTCTAGTGGGGAAAACAGGACAAAGCAGAGGGGGGAGAAATATCTTCATTTGCTATATTTCCAGTCTGAATTAGACCATGGCAGGGTTCCTACAGAAGAGCCTTTTTAAGGATCATGTATTAATAGAAAAGTAACTAACTTACCTCTCTTCCTAAATGCTAAAGCTGTTGCACATAAAAAACAGAGGAGTTCTGATTAACTATCAGAACACCACTTTGAGAGTTTTGCTCTATTGTTGTCTGTGGATGCCCCCACTAAATGCAAGCACGGGATAAACTGAGCCTGGTTTGTTCTCCGTCTTTTAAGTGGCCACAAACTACTAGCAAAAGTGGCATTTGATCACAAGGCATGGAGGCATCGAGAAATGTTTCCCCTTTTGCATTTGAGCATTCAACAAGGGACAGGAAATGAGAAAGGGAAAGAGGAAAGACAAAGAAAAAGAAGAAAAGAGGGGAAGAGAGCAAGGAAGTAAAAAGAAGAGGGGAAAGAAGAAGAAAGGAGAATGAAGAGGGAAGAAAAAAGGAAGGAAGGAGGGAGGAAGATTATAATGAAAGGAGGGGAGGGCCTAAGGGAAGTTCTGCCTTAGCACAGCCATCAGCAGCCCTGCTGCCCTTTTGCCATCCCCTTGTCCCCTCGCCCTGACCTCTCCTGGTGGTCTCCCATCCTATTGCTGAGGGTGCTTTGGTTACAAAGCTGGGTCTCCTTGCAAGGAGAGGGAGTGGGCCTCCCTCTAACCCACAAACTTTGCCCTCCCACACACACCATGAGCAATCTGGCCAAGGAGAGTGAGCACAGCAGCAGTAGTTTTGAGGAGGATGTAAGCCCAGACAGACACCTCCTTGGGGAAGTCAGTACCCTCAGTCAGCTCAAGGGCTGACTGGGCGCTTACTCTCCACATGGCCTGAGAGGGATGGCAAGGCTCTTCTGGTGTACACAGGTTAGGTGCTCGGCCTGCTCTCGCTTTCCTCCACTGGAGACAATGGATCCTCCCAGCCCTGCCCAGGCCACCACAGGCATCCCCCAACACAAGTGACATAGACCTGGCCATGCCACCCCCGAGGTGAACCACAACCCTGATGCAGCCCTCAATGAAATCGAGTTTGACATTCCTGGTCTATGAGATCTATTAACAGTGACCATGAATCCTAGTTCTACTTCCTTCACTCTGCCTCTAGGAGAAGAGTAAATGTTGGAGGGGTCAGAAATTTAGAAAGCATTGAAAAGACATGCCAAAAAATTCAGAGACCAACTTGTCTATATCTGCAGACAAATTTTCCTCAAGGGAAGAACAGGAACTAAAAATCCTATAACAACCAGATTACTTTAAAAGAATGTGTTGCAAAAAGCCAATATATTACAAAGAAAAAATGACACATCTCTCTGAAATTAATACAGTGTGTGCAGAAGTGGAAGGCTAGAAAACATTTTTCTTCTTTTCAGGGTATTTCTTTATATTACAACGGCCCTTTTAATTCCACAATGCAAACAAAACATTAGTTGCTTGCTGTGCTACCAAACAATTAAGACATCATTTAATCAGGTCATTTGTGCACTGTCTGGATATGCAGCAGTCTCTGTTTATACATTATCAACAATCCTAAAGAACAACTTAAATAAAAAAAAGTTTTAAATTGAAATTGCTTGAAATTACTAAGGCTATTAATGCAGCCTCCAGAAAACACTAAACTGATACATAAGAGTGCAGATTTTCAATAGCACAATTATAAATCTTTAAATTAAGTATAGTATCAAGCAGTTGGTTTTCACTAAGGAGATAATCTATATTTTAAAATTGCCTTTTAAATGACTTTCAGTGGTTCTGTATTTTAATGTTCTGATGTGACTTTTATTCATTAATTTGTTAATTCAACTAGCTAGCTTTATATCTTAAAGAATATTATACTCATATCTCACACGATCCCAAGCTTTTTAGGAGTCCATACCTAAACATTTCTACAGATATTGCAATATTGTTTTTATGTACCAGCTTTAAGATCTATATTAAGATCATTCAATATAATCAGCATAAGCTACCTACTTCTATTGTCACTTAACATTCTATCTGGATATAAAAGATAGGAAAAGAAAAGAGACCCCACTGAGTCTGCCTTACAAATAGCTCCATTTAATCAATTTCTTGAACTTTTAATAATGTTGGTTGCTAAACAGCCTACAATATGTGTTTATGAATTTGTGCCTGACTTCAATTGATTTTAAAAGTGCTTATATAATGTACTCAGTAACATGAAAAAATATTCCAAATAAATAATAGTTGTGCAGCTCATTTTTTTTATTTCATTTGAATATAGTTAATTGACAAATTGGGCTAACAAATCTTCCTCTCCCCCATACATACCTAAAAGAGGAGGAGAGAGAATGGCAGTAGGTAAGCTCCGTGCTTGCCATTTCTTTAAAAATGAAATGATGATTTATTAATGTATAGGGATCCCTGGCATACTTAAACCAATATAGAAATTCTTACAATATAAAGCTGCATATTCTATAGTAAGCCCCACCAAAAGTAAAGGTTACATGATTTTTTTAATCAAACCAGAGAAATACCTTTTTGTTATACACCATAAAGATGTTACCTTAAAAGTTAAATCAATTTTTTTTTAAATTTAATTTAAAAGAAATTTAATAAAAATATATATTTTTTAAAAAAGTTAAATCAATCTTGTTAAACACAAACCGCACAATTTTAACAAAGATTCTTACCACTTTTTCCTGGTGGCTGTAGTGCATCCCCTGTTAAATCACACCATCCAACTGGGAAAATATCTCGAGAATCATATTTACACCAATAGTCAAATGCTCCACGCCAACCATCAAAGGTTATAAAAACTTCATCTCCTCTCACATCCCCAATGGTTGCAGGACATATTAAATAAGGATTTTTTCTGTCTATTGCTTCCAGCTTCATTCCAACCTTTAAAAAGTTTTGAGGCGGCTTTGGAGGTTCCTATCAAAATAAGAGAAAACAAGCAAATATATGCATTTGACGCTTTTACTTAACCAAATTGTGATACTTTTCTTATTTATGCTCCAAAACATACACAGGCTTAGAAAGTATTACATTTTCCCACCCGTATCAATTTCTCAAGTATTCTTTTCTCAAAATGTAAGAAAAATTATATGCACTGAAATTTTTTACATGAGCATTTAAAAAAAAATGAACATTTTTTACATTTTTGAGAATGCAATGAAGATTGTATTAAATAAAGATATTATTAAAGAGACCTGTCAATGTTCTATTATTTTATTAATGAAAAAGTTATTAGAAAAGCAAAAGTTTTCAATGTCATATCTATTTTTCAATGACAGAAATATAATTAGGTCATTTACTATCTCTAACATGATACAAAATAATGTGTTTGTCAACTAGCAGGAGACTGTAAGAAAGCCATTGATACTTGAATAATGGGAGTTTAACAGTTGTTCAAATGACAAATTACTACCAGGAGTTTTTTTCTTTCTTAATCTTTTTGGTTAAGTTGCCGATTCAGTGAACAGAAACTAATATTTTCTATTAACTTAAGTTATTAAGTTATATCTGCCTAATTTCTAAATCAACAGTTTCTTTTTTTATATAAAGGTAAGTTTATGTGATAGTGCCAATGTGTGAAAAGCTGGCATTGTATAGAATGCCTAGGAAATATATAGAATGTGTGATGTCTTATTTGTTTGTCAAACATGTACAAGATAGCAGGTATAATATAAACATATACAAAGAAAGTAAGTACAGATAAACGGGGACAGTAAGACAGAGACTATAGGCACACTGGTACACTTATGCACACCCTGTTACAGATCTCTTAGGAATGGGATGAGGTCCACAGTAGACAGATTGAGGTTGAAGCTGTGAGGGTTTGAGGCTGTAACAATTGAGTCGGATAGGACGTTGCAGACATTGACCACTCTGTTGCTGAAGTCGTATTTTCTGCAACTGAGTTTGAAGCGGTTTACTTTGAGTTTGTATCGGTTGTTTGCCCATGTATTATTGGTTGAAGCTGAAGAAATTGTTGACAGATAAAACGTTGTAGCAGACAATTTTATGTACTATGCTTCGATCGGACCGCAGGTGGTGCAGTTCCAGATTGTTGAAGTCCAGAATTTCAAGCCTGGTGGCATAAGGGATTCTATTGTGAGTAGAGGAGTGGAGAATTCTTCTCGTGAAATACCTCTGGACCTGCTCAATTGTGTTAATGTCCGATATACAGTGTGGATTCCAAACGGATGAGCTGTATTCAAGAATTGGTCTGGCAAAGGTTTTGTATGCCCTAGTTAGCAATACAATGTTACCGGAGAAGGTTTGTAAGATTAGGTTAACAACTCTTAATGTTTTTTTGGCAATGCTGTTATAGTGAGCTCTGGGGCTTAGATCGTTTGAGATGTGTACTCCTAGGTCCTTGACAAAGTGAGAGTTGTCTACGAGATCGTTTCTGCCCAACTTGTATTTGGTGTTCTGATTTTTTCTTTTGCCAATGTGCACGACAGAGCATTTGTTAGTTGAAATTTGTAGTTGCCAAATGTGCGAGCATTCTGACACATAGTCAAGGTCACTTTGTAGGGCAGCAGCATTGTCAGTGGTGTTAAATAATTTTACATCATCAGCAAAGAGGACGCACCTGCTTTTAATATGATCACATAGGTCACTGATGTAAAGCAGAAAGAGTGTGGGTGCCTTGGGGGACACCGCTGTTACCTGGTGCCAGATTTGATAGGGCCCTCCCTATTTTGACTATTTGTTGCCTGTTAGACACAAACACAGCTATCCACTTGTGCAGGGCTCCAGAGATCCGTAAGAACTTAGTTTCAACAGTAGTTTGTCATGCACCACTGAATCAAAGGCTTTACAGAAGTCTATGTAAATTGCATTTATTGCTTTACCCTGTTCAAGATGTTTAGTCCAAATGTTTCAACAGTGTAGGAATTGCAGATTACAGGACTATGTCAATATAGCTTCCATAGACTAATTTTTTCTAAAACCAAACTGCTTGTTAGATAGCAGGTTGTTTGTCTCTAAGTGGAGGGTGATGGATTGATTTATAATTGATTCCATAACTTTACAGATGATGCAACACAGTGAGATTGGGCTGTAATATTCTACTAGACTAGGGTCTCCCTTTTTAAAATAGGTATAACTGTGGGTAATGACCATAGGTTGGGCAAGGAGCTGGTTCTGAAGGATACCTCATAAATTGTGCATAGAGGTTCAGCTAGGGCAGTGGCAAGCTTTTTCAAAAAGTAAGCACATTATCCATCAGAGCCAATAGACAGAGATGCTTTAGGTGACGTAGTGCCGTTTTAATGTTATCTACTGTAAAATCAATATGCAGTAAATCGTTACAGTTTGTTATGGTACAATTAGGAAATGGGGGCCAGCAGCCATTGCTGTCAACAAAGACTGAACTGAAGAACGTATGCAATGTCTACTATTTTAATATGCTATATACTGGCATTCAGAAAGTATTCAGACCCTCTTCATTTTTGTCAATTTTGTTATGCTGTAGCCTGATTTTACAGTTGTTGAAATTCATATCATTTACACTCAGTACTCCATAAGGCAAAGTGAGAACAGAATTTTAGAAATACCTGTAATTCTATTAAAAAGAAAAAACTGAAATTCCACAAGGATGTTCAGATTGTTCACTCAGTACTTTTTTTTAGTATATGTTTTATTTTTATTCATAAACATTTTGAATACGGAGTATTATCAGGTCATATCACTTACAAAGAAGCAAAAGAAAAAACAGATCTCAATATATATACTAGTAACAATAATGATAGTATAACAAAATAATTTTAACTGAATTTATTTGTATTAGCTTATTTATAGTTCTATTAATTATATCAACATGTTTATAATTGTCAAGCCTCTTTGTATTTCTTACATAACAATCTTTCTTAATATAATTTCTACTTCTTATCTCTAACCACACGTAAAATTTGTCCCATGTTAAGTAATATTCTGTGTCTTCTTTATTTTTAACGTCAATCTATCCATCTCTGCAGCATCTAATATTTTCCGAATGACATCCTCATCTGGTGGGGTGTACTCAGTACTTTTTTGAAGCACCTTTGGCAGCAATTACAGCCTTGAGTCTTTTTGGATATGATATAACAAGCTTTGTATACCTGGATCAGGGGATCTTTTGCCTTTCTTCCTTGCAAATCATCTCAAGCTTAGTCAGGTTGGATGGCAGCCATTGTTGGACAGCCATTTTCAGATCCCTCCAGAGATGTTTAATAGGGTTCAAGTCAGGGCTCTGGCTGGGCCACTCTAGGGCATTCACAGAGTCATCCCTAAGCCACTCCTGTGTTGTCTTGGCTGAATGCTTAAATCATTGTCAATTTGGAAAGTGAACCTTCGGTCAGGTCTGAGATGGAACAGATTTTCATTGAGTATATCCCTGTACTTTGCTCCATTCAGCTTTCCTGACAAACTTCTTCCATTTGAGAATTATGGAGGCCACTGTGCTCTTAGGAACCTTCAATGCAGCAGAAATTCTATTTTAGCCTTCCCAAGATCTGTGCCTTGAAATAATCCTGTCCCTAAGCTCTGCAGGCAGTTCATTTGACTTTTGCTCTGCTACAGTATGCATTGTCAGCTATAAGGCCTTCTATAGAATGGTGTGTGCCTTTCCAAATCATGTCCAATCAATTTAATGAAACATGAAACATGTCAGCAATAATCAAGAGAAATAGGAGACACCAAACTAAATTTCAAATGTTTTTGCAAAGGGTGTGAATATTTATGCCAATATGATATTTCATTTTTTTTTCTTTTTAATAAATTTACAGGCATTTCTAAAATTCTGTTTCCTCTTTGTCATTATGAGGTACTGAGTATAGACTAGTGAGAATAAAAATGAATTTCAACAACTGCAGAAACAGGCTAAAGCACAACAAAATTGCCAAAGTGAAGGGGGGTCTGAATACTTTCTGAATGCACTGTAAGTTTCCCTAGGCCCCTGATGGCGAACCTATGGCATGTGTGCCACAGGTGGCACACAAAGCCATTTGTGTGGGCATGCGAGCCCCAGACAAACTTATCTGCACTGTGCATGTGTGCGCCTCCCAGCTGATTTTTGGCCTGTTTGAGGCCTTTTTCAGCCTCCCAGAGGCTTGAGGGAACCATCTACAGCCTTTGGAGGTCGAAAAACAGGCCCATTCCATCACTTCCTGTATTTCCAGAAACACCGGAAGTGACAAAATGGGCCCATTTTTTGGCTCCCAAAGGCTGCAGAGGCTTCCCTCAAGCCTCTGGGAGGCCGAAAAAGGCCTCAAATGGGCCAAAAATCAGCTGGGAGGCACGCAGTGCAGGTAAGGGGAGGCAGGGGGGAATTGCACGTGCATGCGCAGGGGGCGTGGAGAGGGAGCCACATGCATTGCCTTCTGGGTGCTGACACATGAGCCCAAAAAGGTTAGCCACCAGTGCCCTAGACATTATACAGACTGACAAGAATTATGCATAATCACACAAAAAGTATGAAAAAAGAGTCATGAAAAAGGTTACAGTTACAGTTAGGGTTAACAAACCCTTGATTAACCCTTTTTTATTGAAAAGATGTAAATGAAAATGAAAGAAAAATGCAAAATAAAGTACAGGACTTTTTTACTAAAAAGAAAAGAAAATGACAAATATTAAACAACTTATTGCAACAAGGAAGGCTAGAATGACATTTTAGCAGGAGTATTTTATACTTCGCCAGTTTTCCTTTTGGCATTCCATGGAATGCCTAGGAAATGTGTGAAATATTAAGCATTTCATACTTTAATGTTTCATTTTTAGCATTCTGTAGATTTCCTAGGCATTCTATAAGATGACTAATTTCACACATTGAAGGTAACGTATATAACATTAACAATTTTAGTTTTACCATTGATGGTTTTGAAGCATTATTTGATAACATGGACATGGTGCCAATTTGTATCTTAATTCACGTATTTTCTCTTAACCTACCCATTTCACATTTTATCTCTTATACCCTCTGTCCTAGTTATACTCAGTACCTTTGGTGCATTGTTTTCTCTAGATAATGTGAGAATACTGAGCAGTCCAAATACCTTAATTCCCAGAAATCTGAAAGTTTAAACAATCTACATTCCTTCCACTTACAAGGTTTTGCTTGTTAAAGTTAAAAAAATTCTCATTAATACAGCAATATTTTTTTTCTTTTTAATAAATTTACAGGCATTTCTAAAATTCTGTTTCCTCTTTGTCATTCAGAGTACAAAACACGTAACTGACTATCCTTGACCTTGGAGCAAGATATAAACTCGCTATATAAGAAATAAATTATATTTTTAAAATTAGTAAATGGTTTGGAAACCATTTCTTACACATTTACAGTGAATTTACTATGTAAGAAAAATACTCTTAGACAGAACTGTATGTACAATGAACACATATTTAATATTTTAAAGGGCAATTAAAGCATCTATAGATTATATACATGCTCAAAGCAATGTTTTTTCACTCTCACTCTATATTTATTAAGTTGGATTTATATAGGAACTTTCAGATTTCTCTAGTTAAAACATAAAGAGAAATTATCAGGCATATTTCCCATATACAGTATTTAATACGTTACTCCTGATTTGTAAAATGCTTCTCAAATGACATATATAAGCTCAGCAGCACAAATGAGATTTTGTCTTCAATTTGTTACATGTGACGTAAGTCGAATTTCTTTTATAGTTTATATGGCTCTTGCCAGTTATCCAGATATTGGATAACCATCTGCCTAAGCAGGGGGTTGGACTAGAAGACCCCCAAGGTCCCTTCCAACTCTGTTATTCTATTCAGTGGTTGGCAAGATGGCTGCCTATTGCAATCATAGTTTGGGTTTTCTATGCTACAGGAAACAATAGAACACAAGGGATTTCTCAGCAACCAAGCTTCTTACCTTCTTAAAGAATATAGCAGGTGCCATTTCAGCTCCATTTAGGGTTCTTAGGAGGAACATTGGCCAAGAGGATGCATTCATCTGGAATCCTAATTTGCCAATAAATATATAATGGATATGATTTAAGACAAAAGGCAAAATGGAGATGGGGTGGAAGCAAAGCACGGTTGACCCACCACCAGTGCAAAGCACTCCTAATACAATCCATAACATTATATCCATTCTTTTTCTTTTGACTTATAACTATTTCATTGTTGGCTATTTCAAAAACTAATCCCTGTAAATCAAAGTGTTGAATTATGTTTCCTTACCTAAAGGAGGCTGAAGCATTCCTCCTTTCTTTTCACATGTTCCAATTTGCTGTATATCAGAGGAATCCACTAGCCTCCAGAAATCATTTTGATTGTCACTTCCATCAAGACGCAGCCTTAATCTAGTACCTGAGATTCCAATAACTGTAGCTATACACACAGAGGTAACATTCCGGGGGTCATGAGCTTCCAACTTCATACCCACTTTGAAATCATTGCTAGGGGGAATCTTAGACTACAAAAGGAAAGATAACCAATGGTTTAACAATATAGTAGCTTAGTTTTCTAGATAGTAAAATATATAGATAGACCAACATGGGGAATTTAATGAATGAGCATAGAATGAACATCTAAAAATGAGCTAGATGACATCGCACTAGTTTGATAATTATACAAATGCATCCTTTTACATTTCAATAACAAATCAACACATGCAATCTAAATTTATTTCATGATATTCATCTCTCAGTGCAACAAGCATTTAGTACTACTTTGTGTTTTGATACATTAAACAAGGTTATTGTTATTTTCTACCACATGAAAACAGTAATGCTTCTAGTATTGATAATTCTTACTAACATGAATATACCAAGTGCATACTACATTAAATGCTACACTTGTAAGTAAGGCAATTTGACAGTTTACAAACACATTAATTTTAGGAGTGGTTCTTAATATTTTAAACTATCACCTGTCTGAAACACTGTGAAGGGGCAGCTACAGACCCAGTTTCTTTCAAGTAGTTGTCCCAGTTAAAATATTCTGTGAAAAAAATGGAAATATTTAAACATTAAAACAGCAATACAAATACTACATAAACATAGTTCAGGCTATAGGAATATAAATAAAATCTTAAGGAATTTACAAAAATGTAAGAATATTTTTCCCCAAACATGTTAAAAATAATTATAATAATTGTAAAAAATGCTATTTTAAATTATCTTTTTAAACTTCACTGAATTTAGTTGCTATGTTATGGCATATAAATTATCAAATTAATTAATTGAAATTACTTGAATGTTATTGTAGCTTTTCCCCAGAAGATTCCATCTCAAAGAAACAATGCACTTGAATATGACCTTTTAAATATAGGAAAGTTCTAAAAGTCTGAATTCAAATAAAAGCATGGAAGACAGATGGTTGCCAAGCTTCTCTGCTTAATATATCAAGCAAAAGTGAGCTCACCATCACCCTGGTAACTGGTTCCACTATCACTATTCTTAATGTTTGGAAGGTTTCCAAATATCCAACTGCAGTACAAACTGTCTGTAATGTTTACTCTTTATCCTGAAGTACAGGACATTCAAGTATTTGAGGAGTGCTTGTATATTCCCAGTCTTCTCTTAAACACTAAACCTTCCAAAACATTTTAATCTGTCCTCAAAAGATTTAGGGTTTTTTTTTAGTTCAATGATCCTCCTCACTGCCATTCTCTGAACACTTCTTAAAAGAAAATGCCTAGAATTGGATGTATAGTAATCAAGATGTGATCTGATCAAAGCAGCATGTAGTGAAATTAGTACTTTCTGATTATTTGGAAATTGTACAGGTAGTCCTCACTTTACGAGCAGTTGCTTAGCAACAGTTTGAAGTTACAATGGACCTCCTCAGGACTACTTATGACCCAGATTTGAAATTCTGTTGGCTCTCCTCCCCACAGTCACATAATTGCATTCTGGGAGCTCAACAATGGGCCCACATTTATGGCTGTTTGCAGTTATGCAAATCCGGTGTTTACTTCTGTTTCCAGAAAAAAATGCCTATTGGAGACAGTGTATTCTCTTAACTACTGCCACATTCACTTAACTATGACCACAAAAATGGTTGTGAAATCAGGCACAATCACATGGTGACCCACTTAACAACCAGCATAATTTACAACCATCATTCCAGGCTCAAATATGGCTGCATGTTGTGGACTACGTGTACATGAATAGATCTAGTGTAAATTTACATTTATCTTTTTAGCACTCATTATTTAATATACGTTTTAATACTTCATGTATTGGAGGAATATTTGTACAGAAATAAAAGGAACACTGTTTATACAGCAATGAGTTAATCTAGGGCAACAGCTCAGGTATTATAAAGTAATAAAATGTGGGGTGAGAGAATTCTGCAGAAAAAGACAAATTTATAAGATTTATCTAGCTGAAGATTTGTTCAATGCAGTTATATCCCACAAACCAATTTATAATTCAATGAAGGTATTGGAATCAACATACAGTATGTAGCATTCCTCTACTATCTATATTAATTAAAGAACAAGGTTGCTAAGGCTATTAAAACCTGCTTAAACAATCAAACAATAAAGGACCCACATAAAATGTTTGAGGAATTCCTTCACGCATCTTGCATCTTAAATCATTTAACCTTTAGTTGTAAAGCAAGTAGAGGCTAGTCCATATTCTCTGTCATAGGGATTTGATAAATGCCTGACAATTTGCTACCAATATAGATGAAAGAATAAGTAGCTCAGGATTTACCTGTGGAATACACTTATGTTATCTAGTCAAGTAATAAAACATCTACAAGGAAAGACTCGACAGAATGAAAATAATCTTTATTTCCAAAATAACCAAGATATTCAGAAGGTCACATTCCAATTGTCCACTGTTTGCTAAAATCACACAACTGAGATAGATCCTTCAGATGAAGTGGAACGACAGCAAAACAATCTAGAATTTTGGAAAGTCACTGAAGCAGAAAGCTAACTGGAATATTTGAAGAAAATAATTCTAATGCTATTTGAGAACACCAGGTCAAGAAAGGCTACCTTAAAGCCACCAAAATCTGGCAATCATTTGCATGAGATTTAAGATAGCTTTTTCAGTTCAGTAAGCACAAGGTATTTTTATTCTGTAGACATTACTACCAATGGCTTTTGAAATTTTTTAACAAATATGAAAAACCACAATCCAAAACGGCAGATAGTTCATGAAAAGTTTTGCTGCTCAAACGATAGATGAAATATATTGACACTTAAAATTCTTGGCCAATAAATCTTCAACCAACAGATTAGAGCTAAATTATTGCAAATGTCTGCAGTCTGCATTGGTGATAACCATAAAACTATTCTGTTTCCCAGCTGCAAACAATAGCAATATATACAGATGGCAGTACAGACCATCCATCTGGTTAATCCTATATTCTAAGTAAAAGATATACATGAGAGTTAGTAATATGCTATATTTTCTTTCAATATACAGACACCTCAATGAATTTAATCCTTACAGGGGCTTGCTTTATTCTTTTGCACCTACTCTTCTAACAGTAGCAAGGCAGCCAAATAGGAAAAGATGTTCAGATAAATATTTGTGAATGAAAATCAAAGTATTTTATATATTGCCCAGTAATAAAATTCTTGCTAGTAGTCTATGTACAGTTAGCTAAGATGTAGATGTGCAAAATGGCCAACTTCTATGTATGTAACTGCTACATATAAAACAAAACAAAGCAACAACAACAATAATAATAATTTGTCAGTAAGAAAGACAAAAAAAGTCTGGATAGTGGATGTGGCAGTGCCTGGAGACAGCAGAAGAGAAAGAACTGGAGAAGATAACGAAATACAAAGGCCTACAAATAGAAATAGAACAACTATGGCAAAAGCAAGCAAGGGTAGTACCAATAGCAATAGGTACCTTGGGTGCAGTCCCAAAACAACTGGAGCACCACCTGAACACCATGGGCATTGACAAATTTGCCAGCAGTCATTTGTAGAAGGCAGCTTTACTTGGAACAGCTTCATCCTGCGGCGATCTGTAACACCATCAAACATCCAGATTTGCCTATCCCAGGTCCTGGGTAAGGACTCGATATGCCAAATCCAGTCTGAACATCTGACTGACTGTGCAATTAACAATGATGATGATGATATAGAGCCACCTAGTGTTTCTGTTGGATAGGCCTCCTTCAAACTGACGTTGACTCCTGGTGTTCTTGGCAATTATACCAAAGTTAGATACAACAGAATAACTAAGAAGTTTCTTAGCAAGAAGCTGAAGTTCTTGCACAGTGATTTAAGATTTCACTGGTTATTCAACAATAGAGCATTGACTTCTATAATCCTTTATTGCAATTTTTGTATCCAACGTTTGTATTGTTTCTAAGCATGCAATGAATCACAAATGACATAACTGTACACTGTGCAAACCCACCTCATGGATTTACTCATGGGTGAGCAAATTGTGTGAGAACAAATATTATATTTTATAATGTATTTTTTTAAAAAAATCAGGAAAGGAAATAAATCTCATTCTGCAATACAGGTAGTCCTTGGGTAATCAAAGTTACGATGGCACTGAACAAGTAGTAGTTATGACTGATCCTTGAAATTCCAGCAATCATACCAGCCATGTGGTCACATGACTGAAATCTAGGCACTTGATAATCAACTCATACTTGTAACTGTTGCACTGTTCTATGGTCACATGATTGCATTTTTTGACTTCCCCACAAGCTTCCCACTAGTAAAATCAATGGGAAACCAGCAGGGAAGTTCACAAATTGCTCTGGTAAGTCTTTCCCACCTACGCACCTCCCCTAGCCCCTCTGCACTCCCATTACATCAGCCACTCATACACCCTCCCAAACCGCTCTGCATTCGGCACTGCACCTCACTGCTACAGTTGCATTCTCTCTCCCACCTGGCAGCCATATCCTTGCACAAGTCCACAAGTCTTGCTGCACTCACGTCACACCTTCCCTATCAATTATGCCCACTCCAAGCTACACAACATTTATGCCACACCTCCCCAGCCACTCATTTACCTTCTCCCATTTGGCAACAGCCACCCCAAGTCCTACTGCACTCACACAACACTGTGCCTGAGCTTCAATGTGCTCCTTGCACACCTCCTTGGTCACCCAGGCACCCTTTTCCACCAGGCATCAGCACCCTCGTACACCCTCTCCAAGCTTTGTTGTGTTTGTGCCATGCTTCCCTCACTTAATGACACACCAGGAATTGCTCTACTAAGAGATGCAGTTATATTTACAACAGCGTCACTTAGTGATGGAAATTCTGGTGGTATTTGCTGTCATAATTCAAAGATTACCTGCATATTAACAGTACTAGTTTTAATAAAATTGTAATCACATGACCCCAGGAGTCTACAACTGTCATAAATATGAACCAGTTGCCAAGCATCTGACTTTTGACCATGTGACCATGGGAATGCTGCAAGGGTTTAAGTGAGAAAAATTATGTCACTTTTTCAGTGCTGTTGTAACTTTGAATGGTCACTAAAGGAACTGTTGTAAGTCAAGGACTACCTGTATAAAGCACCTAACCACATTCCTAGAACAAATTTCCTATTTTACCTAACACAATAATAAGCTTTATTACCTGAAATGTGGCCTCTGGGATCGATTGCCTCTTTTTTAAATGACTATTTGATTGTGGGGCAAAAGGATCCCATTGCTGGTTTTTATAAAGGTCAGCTGTGGAGATTATTCTCTGGCACCATCTGGTGACCAAGTTAGGGAACTCAGAGTCTCCTGCTTCCTGACTGAATCAGCCTGCAATGAATGGGAAATGATAGGATCTCCCCCAGGGAAATGTGCCAGTTTCCGTCACTCAGCTTGTCTCTCAGTTTTGGAGATTTCTTTCTCCAGGGCCTCTTGTTTTCTCCGGGCATCCCTTTCCTCCGCCTTAGAGGCTTTTCTGAAATGTAGGGTTTTTGCCCTTATTCGGGCAGCCACTCTTCTATTCCCTGCTCTTGGCGCTGAGAGACCCTTCTGGTTAATCTGGGGTTGTA